TTAATATTTAAAATTACTATGGCACTTCAGTAATTTATGTAAGGCTTTCTTCTACCTTCTTCCATAACCTAATGTCATATTTTATATAACTCCCTGACTAATAATTTATACAATGTTTTGAGGCTTATTGAAGTGTGGTTTAGGAAGTCATTGTCTGTCTAATCATTCAGATGTTCTTCACCTACCTGCACCAATTGGGTCTAGTTATTTACAACGTAAAGTGCATTATACTATGCCAAATTCTTGTAACATAAAGGTATAGTCTTATACCAATTCACCAACATTTTTTTCTAAATACAACTGACGGTACTCTCCAATTAACGTCTAGTTAGCTTGATTTTTAATGTAATATCAAAGTGTTGTTTTTGAATCAGAACAATTTTCAGTAAAAAAAAGGAAGTATAAATTTGAAAAAGCATACGTATTTACGTTCATCGGATGCTTTGTCCTTTACTATAAAAAAGTCCCATTTAAATGGTTAATAGTGTACATGTTCCCATGTATCCGTGTTTGCTAAGACACATTAATTTCATACTTTATAATGATGCCGATTATTGTAAATGCAACATCCGACATTTTGAGCTAAAATTATTAATTCGGTAAAGATAATTCATGAACGTAATGAGAACTGATAATGACTTTGAAAATATCGCTTTAGTCGAACAACTGACACTGACGAAAAATATGCTATAATTTGTGATACGTGCAAATATTTTACCATATTCATCCCTTATTCGACACGTAGCACTGACCTACTTGAAGTTCGTATGCAAGTTAGCAATTTCTTTGGGAAAATCTTCAGCAGTTAATTTGTGTGAGCACACAAAATCTGATGCGCTTTTGACCAAGACTACTGCCAATTTACAGAACCTAAAGGCCACAAAAGGATTATTTTTCGCTGGAATATAATTTCAGTAATTCGACTAAATTATAGCCAATTTATAAACAAGTAGGTCCTAACCACGACTCCGTGTCTTAATGATTTCTTGTGATGTTTTTTGTGTCATTCACGATAAAACAGTCAACTCGGATGTGCCGATTTAAGTATTTGTGCTAACAACGGAATATCAAAAAAATTAACAATTTGAACAGTGCTACGTATAGTTACAATAATAAAGACACTTGTTACTTTATACTGTTATAAAAAAGCACTTTTGTAGTGTACAATGCAACCAGTTGTGAACCGAGTTAAAGCACAAGAGGGAGAACTGCAATGCCTCACGATTTGCAGATTTTAGTGAGATGTGTTTAAGGATGTACCGCTCCCCCTTTTCGAAAGCAATTTGTTTTTTTCGTGCGTAGGAAATAATTATAATGCATTATGACAGTTTGTGATGGCAAGATCTGTAGCGGCGGATCACACAATTACGGAGGCTGAAGCGAAACGTTTTATCCATAACGTACGGAGTCTATCGCGAATGACAGAACAAAAGTGTGGCATTTCGGTAACACACGGTATGCGAGGAGATGACGAGAATTCGTCACTTTTTCCCCTCAACCTGTTGAATTATGAACGGTTTCGTTTGTAGAAGTGAATCGTATGTTGCAAAATAACTTATTAAGGGTCCGCCTTTATTGATCACCTGTAAGTAATTACCGAAACCCAAACCTTTTTGTGCAAAGCTTGATTTTATTTTACTTAACTGATGTCTAATTTAGCCGATCTGGTGAACTACCACCAGCATAACTCTCAGTATAATAGGCTTATCGGTGTTCAGAAGTGCTTCCACTTCGAGGGCCCTCCCATAGCAGTTAGGACACCGAGTCATGCAATCGGCGAGGCGACTCTTGTCACCTTGCGATCGCGTGCAGTGGTGTGTGTGTGTGTGCAAGCACACACCAAGGTGACACAATTTGCGATTGTGATAAACGCGTCAGCGTCGATCAATACACCACCGAAGTACACGCAAACACACGTGGTTAGATTTGTGTCTATTAACTGTTTACACATTTACACAACCGCGTCGGCTGGAACACTACACTCAAGTTTATTCTAATGTACAGCAAGAGAGCAAGCATAGAGTTAACTGATGTAACTACTTTTATGTGAAGCCCACTGGACGCAAGCACGTCACAGTAGCCGCATCCGAAGAGTGAGCCAACCGGCGTCTTGTAATGGCCTGGGAATGCGGGCTTAATAGTTTAATGGGCAAATTTTAAACAGGCCAGTAATGACCTTAGATATCAATACATTAAACACCGTGCAAGGGAGCACAACGAACACAAGTTCTACTCTCTGCAAAGGAATAAAATGAAGCAGCCTTGCATTACACTTCGGATGAAACTGCGGAACCAGCTAACTCACATCATTTATTGAAATTTGGTTTATCAAACAGTAAGGAAAAAACTATACACATTGTGATTTCGGTTGTGAGCGGCTTTGCAGCTGGACTTAACTTGGAAGGTGACACTGCAAGTCGACGAAAGCTTCATTTTAATACTTTAAAGGGAACCGGATAAGAATGTTAACTCAAATGATGACAGTTTAAGAAATTTATTATTAGAACCACAAGTGCGCTAACTGCAAGCTTACGCTATGTTTATAAGCATTCCAATTTCCGAAACAAAGTTTTACACAGATTTAGCGAAGTACATTTAGGTGCTTGCGCTGACAACGCGGATTGCCCAGCCGGCAAACACAGGAATTTTGCGCGTGGCAACTCCTGGAACGTGGTCAGGCCGTTCAATGTCGTCGTAAAAAAAAGAATAGATAGTTGAGTCAGCTTTCGACTAAGGAAGATGCATGCATCTGGAAGTGGCATACGAAAGGTGTCAGTTGTGTGCATCTCAAATACTGAGAAGTGAGTGCCCGATCACGAGAAAGCTCACTTGCGTATCACGTTGTTCCTGTTATCGAAAGAGATTTCCACAAATAACCGGGGAAAATTAGCGTCTGTTGAAAGAACAAACGCTGAATATGGCTAGGTCTATGACAAAAGAAACCCCTGTGGGGGGAGCAATGTGCACCCGATTTCAACTGTGGTGCATTTCCTGACTACGCCTCCTCGTCACAAAGGAATGGTCCCAGGGGTCACATATAAAAGCGATTTTCCATTTTTTTCTGTAAATCAGTGGAAGGATACTACACTGACAATGCTAAATCGAATAAGATGCACTTAAGTGTTGCATCAGCCACAAAATGTTAGTCTGAATGAATATATCACCCGAACTTGGCGCAACCCCAGAAAATAAGGTCGGAATGAAAAACGTCGTTTAATGGATCCACCATTTGTGATAATGAGGGTCGAATTGCTAGAAAAGGAGTACGGTTTAAAACCTTAAGAGATTAGCATTAAGAATCCCGCAGCACAATAGATGGCACCGGAGACGTGGAAATTAAGCTTGCCGAGACGCCAAATTACTATTGAGGTTAAGCAACGAGATAAATGACGCTTACTTCTGAGTGTTTCCTGGTAGCTACGCAGGGTAGTTTGCCTTAAAACCCCACTGTGAAAGCTGCTCCAATTAGATAGTTGTATTTTTTAAGGAAATAAATTTGCTGCATATTACGATACATCCTACGGCACATCCTCGGCCTCACCTCGAGTTGAGACGGTTGCAGCTTGCAATTCTCAGCATCTTCTGTGTGCACAGCCCTAACCCTACGATGACATTCACGGTCCAAATTTGACGGATTACGACAGCTTAGTCAACAGCATGCTATTTGTCCTGTTACTGTGCTGCAAAAATAGAACATCCAAATACTTTTCAAGGTCACTACATCTGAAGATGGCTGGACAAGAGACTACCAAACCAGATATCTTCGTGTAAATCGTGGTGGTGATGTTCGAGCAGAACATGCACTCCACCCTGGATGTGCACCGGCACACTTATGCACCACTGCATCAGGTTAATTAAATAGCGACCCCGTGCGACAAGCAACTTGCCTTGCCGGTTGAAAACTGTCGCATGGCCTACCCCCGACCATTCGCTAATTAGGCAGCGAACAAACCTGGACAGGCCCAGGTCAAAATGGATGCCGCCTTCATTGAGGTTGAAGAACCGGGGTAATCAACCTTTTAGTGCTACCAACAGCACGCAGTACAATACATCACAACTTTTACAATTTCGTGTCACAATTTACAGGGAACGAATTTGTCCAAGTAAACCGTGGCCTAGAAAATAAGGGAACAAATAATCTTCGTGGTCAGGGAATCGCCCGGGGTGGCCTGCACGACAGACAAGCATGGAGTCCTACGTCCACGACGATGCGAAAGGTGTGCAGCTACCTTGTTAAAACACTAGCAAACAGTTTAAAAACCCCCGATCGGTGCCAACAGGGCTACAAATGCACAAGCTCGGCCCAAATTTAAGCAGACGACGTGTTTGCGCAAGGTAATTGAATGCTAACATCATTGCGAATGCTGTCGCATTCACAATTACAACAAAAGGTAATGGTGTACTAAAAGAATATTTTGCTGCATTATAAGAGATAGTGGCAAAACGCACGAAATGAAAGTAGAACAGGTAGGGAGGTTCTGTAGACATCCACAGCAACCGGACAATGCAAATGAATAGGTGGGTAGTTTCGGTTCATAAAAATGATCGTGCAAAAGCTAGAGAATGCAAAAGAGCCATAGGACAGAGACAAGGTAGTCACGATTGCACACAAGAGTGCGTGTGGATAATGACTTCAAGGAAATAAAGGGAGCACGGGGCTGTACGCCCACCACTTGATGAGGGATAAGAAAAGTTATGGGAAAAGGCAGCATTAAGCGGCGGTGCACGTGCACACATGATTTGTGGGGTAGTGCGGGAGTGGCTTACTGGAAAGACATTTGGCTGCGTGGACACTTTGGGTGGTGGTAGCTTCCTTCACTCTTTTCGTGAGTTAGTAGCTGTCCTGTCGCGTTCCGCCTTAAGTAATCAAAATGACTCGTTTGGAGTTAGTGCTGTTACAGAATACACAAAATAAAAAAGGATGGGAATTGACGAGGGTGAAACAGTTTCGCGTGACCTCGGAGCAGGGCTGTGGGCGGGAGAGTTCATTTTCATTTCGTTTAGAGAATGCCGCATCGACCTTTCTTAGTTCGTGGCGGCTCCAGCGTTGCCAGAATCGCTTCATCAAAAACATTCTTTAAGCCATACTGGAGAAAAAAAAGCAGATTTAAATATCATGTAAGGCACTGACCATACGAAACAAAATATGCAAGCTAGATTCGTAGAAATACCGGTATCTTTGTTTAAGGCGATGAGTTAGATTGGAGTGGTTTATCAGCTCACACAATTTATGCACAATTTAAAAGTTTACATTGCAGGGGGTTGCCAATACGCATCGTAATTATCCTGACTACAGTTTACTATATTTCTATCAGAAAGGGAACGAATGAGTAGAACACACCAATATCCTAAAAAAGTGTAACTCATTATATCAAGTTGTTTAACGTGTCAAATTGACAACATTGCCAATGATAGCTCAGAACATTAATTTAAAGTACAGGAATGCAAATGAGGCGAACAGACATCAGAACCGTCATCAACTGATCACGAAGTTGTGATTTCACGTGAACAGCAATAGACCAATTAAAAGCAACAGATAAACAAAACTCGAGTCTAGAAAATCGTCATAAGTTTGAACCCAACTGAAAACAACCAACAATGCCAATTCAAGGCAAGCTAAAAGGTCAATACTAGTCCCAAGAACGAATACACCTGTGTGTGTTAATATAAAGCAAATTGGTCAAAAGAACACAAAATTTCTTTTGTCTATAACGATATTTGCTGGTCCTGAATAATTAACCGTGTTCCATAAGAATTAAGTGGTCAATGTCATCGCTAGAACCAACAAATATAAGGATGGCCTGCCAATACTGAGAGAATTTGCGGAAGATTGCCGATGGCGTCCATCGGCCGGACAAGGTTTCTGGAAATTACAAGGCTTTTTTGTATAGAAGATTCGACAGTAAAGCAAATATTGAAAATTTGTTGGTAGGGACAAATAGAGTTCTCGGATTTTTAAGTCTGATCATAAAGAAAAGCACAACAGCGTGTAGGGCGATTTTGCTACACACAGAACTTGGTAATGAGGCTGAACATTGACAATTAGCCGGATAAAGGGTCGAAAACTGAAAAATGATATTGTTCTCTAGTACGCAAATGTGAATAATGATGATGTTACAGCCTAGTTGCAACCCCAAAACGTCGTGTTGTTCGGAGAAACAAGTGATTTGTTTGAATGGGCAACCACTGAAGTCAAAGGTAAGATTTGCTAATTCGATTTAGGTAGTGGCTGCCAAAAAGAATACATTTTGAAAGGGTATCAAAACCCATTAACATAGAGGAAATAACACGACACGTATGTTGACTTAAAAAGCCTCGGCAAAGTAATCCGAAGGAACTTGCACCCCTAGATAGTTTACCATCCCATTGACAATTAAGCAAGCCATTTACCGAAGGTTAGAAGTTAAGATTTTTTGTCGATTATGTTGCACCCACTTTACAGTTCCGATCACGACTCGCCCGCACTAGACTCTTTCGCTTCGTCGCGCCTCTAATCTAAGAAGGAATCAGACCTGAATCCAGGTGACACAGAGAGCAAAGTTCAGGTGAAACAGAGAGGATTAAATTTTACAATGAGAGGAAAGTAAATAAAACTGGACCAAGTGCATAAGAGAAACGATAAGAACTCTGTAAAATATTAACTTACAAATGCATATTTAAAATGTAGGCGCTAAGTTAAAATCGATGGCTCATGAATGGACACAACCGTGTTACAACCGGAATCGGCCATGAAGATCACTAGGTGAAAAACATCTACACAAATTTTCCATAAAATTATTTTTGAGCTTTACACTATCTTTATTCGCTCTCCAAAAAAAAATCAAGGATAGGAAATCGCACAACACGCAAACCATGGCTATTGTACGATATCGTCAGACGCATTCAACTAGACACATGAAAATCGGTACTCTACTCAATGATTGACGTGGCACTCTGTTAGTGATCGTTGTTTTATCCCATGTCACGAAAACCCACTCAACTCCCAAATTTATGGGATGCGTTTCCACTTTTCACATGGTTTTCAACAGCCCAGACACCCACCACGGAAAACCGACTAGTAGTCGGGTCAAGTGGTTTTCCAACACTTAAAATGAGTGACTTGCAGTCAAGGTGCTTCGTTTCCTTCTATATTTAAGATAAAAATAATGTTTACTTACTTGTGTTAGCGCAGAGCACTCGACATACTTGTGAGCTTTAATTTCTCTAGCTAATTTTTCACCTTGTTCTGGGGTAATTGGCTTTTGCCGATTGAGTGCCAAACTTTCTACTTTGCCAGTATCGTCACGAAGATCAGTCTGGGTTCCAACTAACAGAAACGGAGTGTTTGGTGCGTGGTGCTTGATTTCCTCGTACCACTATGATGCGTAAAAAGAGAAAATAAAATTAGACACCGGTGTGCGCTACCTTTACCATTTAAACTTACTAAAATTAAATACGTTGGTCTATGAATAGGGGCATTAAATTAAACAAAAGGGAATACAAGACCAAAACAAGAGAGCGCCAGAAAAAACATTAAACCTAAATTCTAGTCACACAAACAACACTTCCATCATCATAAACGACGGGCAAATACAGCTTCCGGTGCAAGGTGTGGGCAACCGCCAAAATTTTGTTCGGTAGAAACCATTACCAGCAATTCAAATAACGATGAACGAATCCACACAATGCAATGAAGCCAAAAGCGTAGACAGATGCGCCCATTTCTAGCATCCGTCAACCGTCAATCGGACGACAGAGATCAAGAGGCATGTGACGGGATCACTAATTACCCAAGGACGATGACACTAGTCAATAGAAATTATGCACTAGCTGCACCACAAGAATTTTTTCGAATGAGCGTGATCTGAAACAACAGACACGATTGTGAGACTATGCTACAGGTATAGACCATAATCACACTTGTTCGAATACAATGATTAATTTTCACTCCACGAGAAGCCAAAACTAAAGATAAACCATGGCGTCTTAGCTATGACAGGAAAAGCATGTAAGTAGTCTAACCTAATTACCACGAAGGGCAATGAAGAAGCCTTCGTTAGGTGAGTTATTTGTAAAAGGAAAATAATCCAGTGGGGGTCTTAGAAACTATAGACTACAATTAACAGGGTTTGTTGACATATTGTTACACTACAACTGCAGGAGAATGCATATTAGTGTCGAAAAAGAACAGTTACGTCAACGAGTGAGATCCGGAAATCGAGGTAGACCAAATGGAGGCAGGCCCACAGATACCTGACCGATGAAGTCACTCCCAAAGAAATTACACATCTTAAATTGTAGACATCTCCGAAGCACGCAAAAATTATTGACGTCATCAGGATAGAATGAAGTTAAGCGAAGCTACCTACTATTTTCACACAGTAAATCTTAACTAAGTACAACACCTAAACACTCAATGAGGCGCTCGAAAACATCTGAACAACAAAAAATGCACTGCAGCATAAGTCTACCTCATATACTAATGATGCACAAACCTTTTCTTTGACATTTGCAAATGAGGCTGGGTTGACCACCGAGAAGCACAAAAGAAAGATATCCGTATGAGGGTAACTCAGTGGACGTAAACGATCATAATCTTCCTGGCCAGCAGTATCGAAGAGGGCTAGCATCATTGGATCACCACCAACCCTTACGGTCACAGCATAATTGTCGAAAACCTATATCTGGCATGTTTGGATTGTAAAACGTACTGTCGGAACATATTCAGATGGAAACTTATTTGTTGTGTAAGATATTAGAAGACACGTTTTACCAACGGCACCATCTCCAACAACAACACACTTAATCGTCCGATTTGAAGCATTCATTTTTAAAACCCCTAAAAAGATGCTAATCAACAGTTCTGCGAACAAGGAATTCCCAAACGCTAAAACAAAATAAAAATGTCTATTTCCGCAAACAGCAAATGTCTTTTATTTTTGACTCTTTTAGCCTAAACCTTAATTTGCAAAAAACCAAAAATTATTTTTAACTGCTAGTACTAATTGGCCTGTTGTTTGACACAAATTATTTCAAAATTATTTGAAAGTCTGTGGTTGATAATAGATCGTCAGGAAATCAAAAACAAATCATAATATTTAGTCAATATAGCAATAAAGGTGTGTATTTAAAGCCACAGTCACAGTGTATTCATTAATTTTTTAACATGAATACATCCCAACAATATTTGTGGCGGAAACATTCAGTAAAAATGCATAAAGCATTGGCACTAATATAAACTTTTTCTTCTAAGAATATGTCTTTTTTTAAAAGTATATTGTACTAAACCTAAGCAAGGCTAAAAACTGGGAAGAACAAACTGGACAAGAAAATGGAATTTAATCCACCCAACGAAATACTATCCATCGATTCTGGCACCAAGTCTATCGTAAAAGTATTTAATTTACAATCCCAAAATAGTACTACATTAAAGAGTCTTGCAAAAAGAATGTAAGGTGATGGTCATATCTAAATAATATAAGGAAATATAAATTAAAAAAGCCTTGAAATGTCATGGTGACGCTTAATTTTTTCCAAAAAACTAGCAATATTTTTTCCTGCGACAAAAATCACACGTAATTCATTTTTATTATGCCTGCCTTCCTAAAAATGGATATTTAATCAGTTTGTTATCAAGCAACAACAAGGGAAACGGGAATTTTGTTTCTCAAAGAAGCACATATTTTCCCAATACCAATCTACTGTACACTCTAAATATAAGTAAAATCTATTTAATGTTGTTTAAGACAGGCACTTGTCATAGTTTTAATCCAACCCTCTATTTTTGCTTTGTCCGACAAACAAGGAAAATATGACCATGCGTAACAAGTTAAGATAAATTACCATTACAATAAACTAACTGTTGTGCGTGTGTCTAAACGACAAAAATGTCGTTAAAATAGGATGCTTTAGCAGAAGCAAGCCTATAGTCGCAAGTAAATGCATGCAGAAAAATTCCATGATTCTAGAACAGTGTATATTTCTTTTATTGGTTTTGTTCGATAAAAAGCGTAAACGGCCAATTAAGCCATATTTTGAACACATTTGCCCCGAGCTGGAGATTCATTTCGATTTTCGTGGACTTATTTAAGTAAAATCAAACCATGGGGTATATTTAAGAAATTGTTATACGTCTGTGTTGCATGCCTGCAAGTAATTGCCTGATTGTAACATTTGCGTGTTAGATTTAATTTGATTGGTTTTAAAACTGATTTTTACCAAGGCAAATTTAGGCATCTAAATCCTGATAACTAAATGTATCAAACACTAGAGATAATAAGGTTTCCTAGAAATATTTGTAATTATTACACAAAGGAAATTCTGGTTTGATATTTAAATTAATCCTTATTGCATCAAAACGAAATGATTCATTACTTAATTACTGTAGTAAACAGAGGCTGCCGCTCTGCTTTAAAGAGATGTGTATACAAAAGAATTTACTAACGAGTGCTAGTTGGATGAGAACCGAGCCATGAAAGCCCATTATCAGTAATTTCTTTAGTGACACCATATAAGCTTACAGTTTATAAAATTTCAGAACTGAATATTTCAAAAACTTTAATATCAGCAGTCTTAATTTGGATAAAAATTGTGATGTAATATGTTTTTTTGTTTTGATGTCACTGACAATCATTTACTTCGATGTGTAGAAGCATAGCTATTTTTAACCACTGACTTGAACAGAAAAGGGGTTTAAAAGGTTAGGAATAACTAAAGCGCCATATCAAAAAATATTATATATGTAAGAAAATTAACTTGTTACAACGCGGTAATTGGGAGCTGTGGCTGAAAAACGAACTGTAAAGCGTAGGAGCTATTTCAATCAGGCAGGTTTAAATTATGTGGGAGATTTTTGAAAACGTATTGACATGGCTATGACTGTCGCCATGAGTTTCTGTTTGCCCTTGAAGCTGTTCACCTCTTGTTAGTGCTTCGTGGCACCAGAAATGTGTTGACTCATGGCCTGAACTATTTTGGCAACTTAGGCTATCGTTTTCTGTCTTTCCTATCCTCGTATTTTAACTGCTCAAGCTTTCCTTTTTTTATTATTCCTTCAATATTATAGATGTAGGTCAGAGATTCAGGTTTAGGGCTTGACACATGTTAAACGTTTTTGTGACTTACACGACGGACACATTTCTTTACTTGACTTTTTCTCATCTACGTCATGTCTGCACCCTTATACGGTCAATAAGTAAGTATATATTCTAGATGAATCCCAAAAATTTAGTCACTCGAATAACAGTGCTCTGCAAAACATCACTAATGTAGGTGACCTTTACACAGAATATATACTCCAAAATATTCAGAGTTAAATAAATTTAGTGGTTTTAAAATATCACGAAAACCCCCGAATAATATAAAAAGGAAACCGCATTCTAAGTTCATTTCATTGCTTTCGAAGCAACCGACTTCGTAATCAAAAGGTAGCATGCATAATCAGTTACATTTAAAGGACTACAAAAATTTAAAAATTATATTCACAAATCTTAATAAGTTCACTCAAACCGGCCCTAAAAGAGGTAATGCGTTTGTTCAAATATTCATAATGGGGTATTCAGTCAAGAGGATATCAGTCCACAATCTCTTAGTTATTGTATGACGTAGGTTTGGTTTAAGATATGTTTTTGACTTAAAACGTGTGTGAGAAATGAATCCAACTTAATGATTGTTTTGCATAAATTAACCTCATCTGATTTCGTCAAACCATTGTCCAAAATGCCAATTAGTGATTTCTGAGTCAAAAATTCTATGAAGTTTGCGATTACTCTCACTGAAATGATACTGTATGAAAACAAACGATAGTTTTACATATATTTAAACTGATATTATTAGGGTTTCTGCATTAGAATGTAATCTGTTCGTTCTATTCAAAGTGTCAAAACCTATTTCGGGTCATTTCTGGTTAAAAAACTAAAATAATAGTCAAGTTATGTCGCTTTTAAAAGCGCTTGAATGGCAGATCACCAGAGTCTGATGAGGGCATTTCAATGTGTGGATGGTCTCTAATCACAGAAAAGTTCGATATTATTTTCAGCTAGTGAAATTTTGGTTTTTTATGCGTAAGAAAAAATACAAAATAATCTCTTATATTGCTTGAATATTATCATACCTTATTTAGACATTTGTTAATTATTCCACGGGTGTCGCAGGGATCGTAAACCAGTGATCATTGTATTGAATCACCATTGGTTATTTTGACTAGTCTCACAGGTTTTAATATGGCAGCTCTCCTTGCCCGTTTTCCAGCTCCCGTTTGATGGTCTGAGTGTTGTGGAATGTGTCGCGTGTGATGAACACAGTAGAGCAGGTAAGTGTCTTCCACATAACTGTCCGTAATTATATTCTAAAATCTAAATCCTATCTGGGTTTATTGTCGTTTTCGTCCTACTGTATCCCAGAATGTGTAGTCCGCCGACTGTAACTACCCGCACCGCTGTGGGTTTTCCAGGTACTTTAGCTTTTATGTCGTCAGTAGCTTCAGTTTCTGGTGTTTGAGGTTATGAGTGATTGTGCTGCCATTCTATGTTTAAGTTATGGCTTTGTGCCCTTCAAGTTGTCATTTGTCAATGGCCTTTCAATGTTTCAGTTAGACATTTAGAAGATGTATAGTTCCTCAAGAATTATGGTCTTTTGTAAATTTTCGCTGTCGTTTTAGGTCTAAATAGAAGCATCTTTTAGCTTATCATTTTGTGAAAAAGTTCTCGATTTGGTGTCGCTACCTTCTACGCTCTAGTTTACCGTAATCTTATACGTTAGTGTTGTTGTTAGACGTTCACATGCTTCCGGAATGGAAATCCTACTTTAGTAGCCATCTCATATTTCTTTGACTAATTGAATTTTTAGAACCCCTTCAAATGTCGGTTTTGCGACGAGCTCTTCGAATTTTCAGGCGAGCAGCCAGTCTGTCATATATGTCACGCGTTTCTGTATGAATATGCAAGCAGTGATATGCTCAATGTCATAAAAAATTCGGATGAAAAGGAGGCATCCAACGACAGTGGGACAGAGGAGCTAGAAGTAGAAATGCATCATCAGCAGGGTCCTTATGTCTCATCTCCGTCTTCCCCCCCTTCTCAGTGCTACAGTACTTGGTCATCTTCTTTGCACAAAACATGCCCCTTCCAACAAAAATCGGTGTCTCAACTTTCACGGTACCGCCATGAACCTAATTATTCTGTTTGTGACATTAGCACACCCACCACTTTATCATGTTCTGCTTTGGAAAAACTGCCTACCGAGATTCTACTCAAAATATTTGACTATCTGGATGACTTCTCTATCTGGGGCCTCCGTCTTGCATCCTCTCGCTTTCGTTCTATTATCGACAATGAGATACCCGAAGAAAGGTGGGCTCTTTTTGTCGCTCACCGGTGGCCAATATTTGTACCGCGTCATCGCATCTCTTCTTGGCGCCTTCTTTACCTCAATATGATGGAAAGTGTCACTTGTAGTTTATGTCTTTCTCGTATTCATTTCCCAGCCGTTTTAACAATGAACGTTCCTGGAATACGTTTCCGACGAATCGTTTCTGAGATTAGGAGTCTCTGTGCAGATCCCCCCTATGGCATTAAGGCGCTGGCCCTTGATACTGATACATATGCACACTGTTTGGCTGGCATTGCTGGGCCCCCGGCTTCACCTTACGAAGGAGGCCTTTTTTATGTCCACATTCTTATTCCCGATAGCCATCCGATGCGTCCCCCCGTTATTCGATTCCTTACACGTATTCTGCACCCAAACATTAGTTTCCATGGCGATATAGGTTTAGACTGTATTCGACATAATTGGAGTCTAGCGCTCACACTTGATAAGGTGCTTTTAAGTGTACAGTCCTTGCTCACCGACCCCTACACAAAGGTTTGTATGGAGCCTGCGATTGGCGAGTTGTATAACCGAGATCGGGACAAGTTCGAGAAACTTGCAAAATTATGGACATGGAAATACGCATGTCACGATTACCTCTCAACACACTTCGTCTCACAGCTTTCCCTTCCAGGCTATATGGACTAAGCGGTGGTGGCCCGTCCGCGGCGTCGCTCTATTTACTTTCCAAAACAGTCCGTATTTTCTTTTTTAGCTTTGGCTTTCAAATGATTGTCATTGTGCACTGTTGTATAGTAAATTGCGTTGCACCCATGTAGCCATTTTGATCAGCTGTACTTTTTTGAGATCTTGACTAATCTGTTTAGTAGTTTTAGTCCGTGGTAAATTCGAGTTCGAAATTCAGTCATGCTTGTATTATTATTTCCCCTTAGTTTGTTGCATTAACCACTTCCCCATGCTTTAACGTCACAAAGCAAAGCTTATTCGATGTCCTAGATTACGGTTTCGTGAATTAAGTGTCTTGGTCAGTGCTGTGCCGGACACCATTACACTGTGCTTGACGAGTGTGGTCAAGGCGACTTGAAACTTTGTGTGGCGTACGCAACGGTGCCTGATTCCTACCCCAACCGATAAGCTGTGCCGTGGGTTCGTCGTAACCAAATGATTTACCATTTCATTTGGTAATTTAAATTCTCGTAGGGCATTCGTCACCTAATGCATTTTTGGTCGTTAGCCGGCTGTGTCTGTCGCTGTTTGTTTTGCGTGCCGCCGTTACCAAGTTTATGAATTTTAACAGCGACGACTTCAGGCTTAGTTGCGGTCAAATTGTGCGTATTACAAACATGTACTTTGTTTCCTTAGCAGTTGGTAAACACCACCGTTACAGCTATGGCGTTAGGTAGGTCAATCTGCAAAATGAGGTAACGGCCTACCTAAAATTCGTGAAAAATTAAATTGTGAAATACGACCACAAATCCTCATAGGATTGTAACATCATAATTCAATGAGGCGATGACACTACCTAACCGCAAAATCAGTAATTTCAAGAACTTTTGGTATCTGATCAAATTGTCATTGGCAGTATCTACCGACAGCGTGGTCACATCGACATTCCCGACCAATTGACGAAACTGTCGAGGCTTGAGAATGAGACGGAGGTTAATATGATCTTAGCTGGCTCAGATAGCACGATACGTTGGAAAAAAAACACTTTTTTGGACTTAGCCCCTCTTCAGTCAACCGATTTACTCGAGCAACATTAGATAACAACAGTGAGACTAAAAACAAATGCATAATAGATAGTTTTTATTGTTTAACACAATATTCTGGAAAAGGTTTAGCCTAAGCAACAAGAGCTAGTAGTCTTTCCATTTTTTCTATTTCCACCTTGAGCGGGTCGGGCTTTTCCAAACCTTTCTTTTCCTAAATAGACGATACAAGAATGGTTTAATACCTGTGGACGTATTTGAATTTTCAAATTTCCTAAATTGTGTAAATGTTTGCTCCAAATTGTTAGTAAAAGCCAAATATGTAACAGTCAAAGCGTTCTCGCACGAAATCGGTTTCCGCAGAAATAGTTCCAGATAAAATAAAACATGACATGCACTTGTTGTCTAACATTAGGTCTTTTCGGCAAGTTATTCCTTTAGCCAAAACGTAGGTCGTTGCGACTGGCACGGTAGCATTTATATGTTAATCCCACATAAAATTTTATGCATAACCTGTCCAAAATGTCTAAGCGCAAGTTGATAGGTGGGTGCATGCAGCACAAAGAGCATGCTCAGCCTCATATTTCATCAAGTGTTTACTGGCAGGCACATGTAATATGTAACGGGTTTTCAATGCTTTTTTTGCATGGACACAAGACTCACTCAACAGGGAACTCGCTTCATGACTTTTAACCCCATTATGCATATTTCCCAACATTCCCTAGAAATATTAATTCGTTTAACCGGTGCTAGTGCTGTGTACTTTCTAGAAACTACCAATCAAAGTTCCTAAATAACGAATTTGCCCACTAAAATAAAACTGCGCGTAACTGATTAAGGTAGATTTAAAGGCGTCACTGCAAGCACACCTTTAGTGAGTTTCGACCCAAGCTATGGAAGCATTTAAATGCGTGTAAACAGCATTGCATTCATTCATGGATAAAATCCAGGTTGACTCTGCCTGCTGCAATTTGCTCGCTTACCTTTTGCTTTTTTCTTAGATTCGGAGACAGTTTGAACGACATGACCTGCCCCCTAGAATATGTTTGAAATTACAACAAGTCAACGATCGCGTATGGTTAGTGTAGAGCCTAACAAAGTTGTGGTGTACCAAGAGAAGGCTAATGTTGGCATCAAGAACATGAAGTCTAATAAATAGTCACATGCGTCTTTCGTGTATATTTTTGCCTCCCTTGATAAACGATCCCGACACCGTTGCTGGCATCTGTCAATAAAACAGGCACTAATTTGATCATTATAAGTGTTGTTAATTGGGCAATCGGATGTATTCAGATAAAGTCAGTCTTCTGCTGAAACACATCGCGTAACCGGCATTCAATGATAATATCAAAATATATTCAGAACCTCAATATTTCCTTACATACGTTTACATGTTCAAAAAATAGATTAAAGGTGATTGTTTTGCATGCAGTGGTTGTGCAAAAATTTATCAAGAATTAAATCCAAAATGCACTACTTATCTCTTTGTTGCAAACAACAACAAAGGCATCGCCTTTTGAAGATTAATCAAGATCTCTCTGCTGTTCTCTTTGATGTTCACTTGACATGCACCGACGGCAAGACGCGTGACTTTCAAAACATGTAGCGATTCACGAAGGACACATTCGACACATTTTTACTCCAATGCATATCAGACCGTCACATTAGGTTACTCAACAGTCACAAACATCAAAATTACCCTGTCTTAGTTTTCGGAAGATTTATGAAGTGATGCAGTTCGCACCACTATTCGACCTTAACAGGGTTCGCGTTTGTTTTGTACTTCATTCTCCAACTACATTTCCCAGTGGCATTTTTTACGATAATTTCGTTTGTACGCGGTCAGTCGTTGAGGAACAAAAAAAAACCATGTGATGACACGACGATACGTAGCTCTGTGCCTCAATTTGTTTGTCATATGCCGAAAACGTCCCGTGATTGCTAATGACTTCTTACTTGACCGCCCAATTTTTAGTCATTATGCGCAAAACAGATAAAAATGCCTACAAAAATCCTGCAAACGTCAGCTTGATTAGCTGTAAATATCAAGTGGAAGTGATGCAAGAAGAAAAGCTATATCCATTTTCGCTAACCTATCGTCTCCACAGATGATAACAGGGTGAACGGGATTGAATGCAACGTGGGTTAGCTTGGTGCGCTTCTTTTGAGTGACCATTTGCAGGCAAAGAGGCTCGTATTTGTTGATGTTGAGGTCGTAAACGCGAACATTCCCGTCCGTGGTGACTGCGGCAAAGACAGTTGACGAGTACGGCGACCACGCAACGTCTCCAACTGGCGCGCCTAGATCGAAGGTGAACACTGGAGACCTGGAAACGCAAGCATAAGAGTGTATAACGAATTTATTTCGGTGCCTGTACCTCCTGTCCACTTCTTCGGCAGACAAATTATTAAATACGTATTTTGATGAAATTGTGTTGTGTAATTGTTGGTGACGTTTATTCACGAAAAAAATTTTACGTGACCCAACAACAGCTAGTGGAATTTAGAATGTATCCTATTTGCCATGCTAGAAACTCGATGTGCCATGTTGAAAGGACTATGCGTCGTAACCAATGGCAGCTGGAAAAAGTGCCACTGCACTAACCCGTCAGGCTGCAATTACCGAACCAGACAATGCAGTTTCATTTTCATAGCCAAATTTAGGTGTCACCCGTCAAGGTTAAAGGAACCTTGACAAAGGTACTCCCCGATGTTCAGATTAAGAAATAATGTAGCCAAACTCACTTCTTGTCCTGGTGCCAAATCTTAACTGTCCAGTCAGCCGAGCAGGTGATGAAGATATCGTCGTGGAAGTAGTTCCAAGCCAATCCGTAAACTGCCATATTGTGGGCCTTTAGGCTACTCAGGTACTGAGAGCCGTAGGTCCTACTGCATTTGTGAACCATTCCCTCCTCGGTTCCGATCAGAAAGATCTGAGTCTCTTTCCGATGAAAGTCCAATGCCGTGCCGCTCTCTTAAGAAGGTTAAAAAAGCTATACTCTTAAGGATGCTCAGAAAATCTCAAAACATCGGTACGGAAGCCAAAAATTGTATTTGTAGCAGCACGATTTACAGCACTCTTGTAGTTTTGGGGCATCCGTTTTTATGCAAAGCGTTTTATTTACGGGCCACTCTCAAATTGTCGGATTTTTTGCTACTGGCTCTTCTCAATTTTGGAATGCATAACATTGATTTTAACTATGAATAAAGGAGAGAAAGGTAGCAATTCAAATGAATTTGCTATGTACTACATGATTGATGCTAATTTCGGCAAAGTAATCGTTGAAGCACACCATGAAAGGTGGCATTTGAAAACTAATTTTTCTGGCTCTGTCCTGTCTTCCTGGGACAGAGGTAAGAATACATGGCTAAAACAATCTCCGTGATGCTGCAATTCGAGTTCTATTTAAGAGAACTACCTGTTCCTCTATCTAATTTGAGATTATTTTTACAAAAATGTAAACAATTTCGAAAAAACCCGTCGGTTTTGAAATGTCCGGTTACATTTAACTCACCATATGTCGAAATCTGAAATGACTTTGGAGCGTCACCTGATTCCTTTGGTGTGCGCAAAAGGAGGACATCGTAACATGAGATATCTTCCTTTAAATGCAAAAAAGAGTTTGTTCTAGCGTACTTGAATGCAATTCTGAAAGTTCTGAAAACGATTCTGGGGGAATTAAAAAAATAGAAGCTAACAATGACAATACAAATAAACACCCCTTATTTACCAACCGGCGCGGACTACCAAATTACGCTGCCGGGGCAAGCCCTCATAACAGTTGTGTATTTTGAGTATGTAAACGAAAAACTGAAAAATCTGGGTCCGTGCCAGCAGCATTCTCTCTCTTTGGCTCTTCGCACTAATCAACTCATCCGACGAGCCACAGTGATACCCGATTAAAACCGAATTTGCGAGGCACGCCAACGACTCATTTGGCGACACAACTGCTTAACTAGCTGTGTTTAAATAACACGTCAACCATGAAGAAAAGGTCTTATTCTTCCAAACAAAACTTCGTTTCAGTGATTTTGTCCACTAATCCATCAAAACACTGAGATATTATTCAAACCTTCTACTCCACAACCATCTACATGAGACCTGTTTGGCATTACCTTTTGTCTTGTTCTTACTTAATCAGTGCCCTCGTTTAGTTGAGAAAGCAAACCCTTTTGGACAGATTAAAAAGCACTGTTTAATCAGCAATACTTGCAGTGTGTTGTTGCTGAAATACGCCCAAGTACTTCAAGAAGACTGGATCGAGGCGTTATCATTGCAAACAAATAGTGCGGGGATAAATGGATTAGTGAGGACACTTTTGGTGCAAACGTAGCAGGTTCATGACTGAACCTATATAATCTTAGGCATCATTCCTGGTGGGCTTTTTCCACAATGCCGTTCTCAATCTATTGGGTAATCTGGGTTGGTATTGTCAACAAGAACACTTGGCCAGATAAGGCAGAGGAGCTGAGCCCTGTTGTAATGAGATGCATTTTGCATGTCAACATACGAGTCTATTGTGACCATATTACAACTTGGCAACAGTCTAGGAGACATTAATAAGACAAGCAATTGAAGGATCACAGAGTAAACTAAAGCGCCGAGTCTTTTACATAAGATGAATCGGCCTAACCCTCTTACCACCGTAACGCTTTTGGAAAAAAAACCAAAACTGATATGAAATGCTAGTTTTTTAGAAGTGGAGAAGTCATAAGATAAGTGTTTAGTTAGTTCTTCGGCTCCATGTATAAAGTGTACGTCCCTCTTAAAATCGCCATCTCAGCTTATACTTAGCTTTGATCGACAAAATTATTGAAACATTTTGAAAAAAAAAACTATTGGCCAGAGAAAGAGGAGAGGCGTTTTCGGACAGGTTCAGACTGGGCATTGGTGCACCCCGCGCTAGCTGCACTGTCACCACAGCATGCAGTGACGGATCACCGACGACGATAACTGCACTAAATGTTTGCTTGAAAAAGGCCGTTTTCGAACCAAGGAAGTAAAGAATGGTAGTTTACGGCGTCAATTGAACATGCGCGTTGTAGCTATTCCAGCATAAGCAAAAATATACAAGTTAGTATGGATTGTCGTTTTATTGGTCAAGAAGCTCGGAACCACCAGTCGTCATGGCAGTGCGGTCTGGTTGGTTTAAGCAGAATATGGCATCGGCAACAGGGTCATGTCGAACTCCACCTACAACCTGAGGCCCTTCATAATGTAAATGAAGTCGAATGCAGCCAGCATAATTCAAATGCATTTTTATGAGCAAGGAATATTTCTGATTTATTTTTTTTATTTTATAAAATCTCATATAGCCAAATGAAACCCAGGGCTGAGAAAATTGTTGAAAAACGCTACAAACACTGAATGTAAACAAAAACTGGCAACGCCAATTGTTTAAAAAGGATCGGAACTCACTGGACATTCATGAAGAGTACCAACACCTGACTTAAGAAAATCACATTGTTAGATTAACTGGGGTTGGAAATAAGATCTGAGGTTTTGTTCACATTCTCGCAGTTGTCAATGCCACCAAAGCATCTGATATCGATCATTCTAACTCGTGTTTTTGCCATAATATGAACGACAAGGCTCTGTGCTCAAATGCTTTGACAGACAGCTGGTCAAATTAATCCCAAACCAACCTTGAGGATGCTCCAGCAAGAAACACGGCCATCTGAGCCGATGGAAAAGAATGTGAGATTGGGCTGTTCACTGTTGCAGAGCCAGCGAACTTGCCATACCGGATCGGTGTGTTTGTTCGCGTATGCCGTGCTGAGATACAGAGGCCCAACTTTCTCTTGGTTTAACTTAAAAACGCCAACGGAACCATCATAGAATCCGACGCATGTCAGACAAGGATATTCTGGGTGAACATCAAGGCAAAGAACACCAGATTCTGTGTGGAAAATGTATTCTGGATATCCGGGATTTTTTAATGAGTAGAAACAGATCATTCCATTAACCTGCTTCAAAAATTCATCTAAAAACCAAGAAAAATTGTGACCATCAAAAACCTATGTAACTGCAAAACAGAGAAGAGATGTGCAGTTTCACCGGAGTTGATGTCAAGACAATTCCATTTATCAGATATGGCTGCTTGAAATTCAAAAAAGAAAGCAAAGCTCTGTATTGGAATGGTAATTCATCAGATTCCCCGCTTCATAACGGTCTATCTTCACTTACTTTAGAGCGACTCTAATTCTACTCATCATTTTAACAAAACGACTATAAATTAGTTTCTTCTTGAATTATTTGCTACATTTGTAGATGGTGCAGCATCATTGCAAACGAAAAATTCAAAATGACAAAAATGAGCAAGTGAAAAATCAAGTATTTAATTCAGAACACTAGGCTCGCCGACCCATATCTTATCAAGCGAACAACAAATTCGGTGTGGCCAAATTGACAACGCGAACCCACTAACGCAAAACTTGTGTAAAGAAATCCCAGGTAAATAGAGACAAAGGGCACCGCCAAAACAAGTAAGTACGGACGCTCAGAAACAGACTTAACCTCTTAATCCTTTTCAATGTTCCTCATTTTTTGTATCGCAGATTTGTACCCAGCATTTGTGGGGCGTATTTCGGCAAAAGCATGTAGCTGTGCATTCACCTCAGAAATTTCCATTGAGACGTTGAATTAATAGGTTGACGTGGTTGCGATAACGACGCTGTCAGCAGTATTTACAGGCTTAGTCGTTTTCTACCTACCTCGCTACCCTCCCTTCGATCGACACCCCAGCAATGTCCTATACTCAGCAAGTGGCTGAACGATAACTCGTGAGTTATTAGTTACATTACTAACCATCACCTATTTCTCAAACCTTGCCAACTTCGCCCATCTGCATGTTTACATTGAGTGTATTGCACTGGTCACGGACGCTGATGCATGTCGTTTCACTTCAACTGAACGTAGAGTGCGGCAACGCGGCGATGCAGCATGCTCGGAAACTACTGACAAGACAATGCTCGACTTTCTCGCACTAGCTGACGCTCACCGGAACGCGTCTGGCTTGTGATGTGCAGTCGAAATGAACAACCGATTTGACGGCTAGAGAAAGTTGCAGTATCGATGCTGACAGTTTTTACGGATAGTTCCATGTTGTGTTGGGTCTCATATCCACAACAAGCATTCCTCTGAGTGAGTGGGCAACGCGACAAGATGCGTGTGTGCAAATCAGGATTTCTGACGACGAATGTGGGTTGGAGTTTTCAGCAGTGCCACAACATCACTTACCACTGTGCCTCTCGAAGTGGAATGATACAAGACCTAGCACATACGCACCTCCTGCATTTCAGTCGGTGAACACATAGACGTCCGTCAAACCATCTTAGTCCAAATGATAGTTACACAGCACTCTTTCATAAAACAACATCCTACCTGCAGCTTGAGGTTTTTACAATGCACGCGACAACCACTATGCCATATTTGAACATTTATACTAAGCAGCCACCTGCATTCGCTAAAACGAATGTGATTATTCACGGTCTGTGGAGATGCTGTGGAGACCTTGCTTCGAAGCATTCGAAACGACATTACATATTGCTATTGTTGAGGCCATGATTGGCGCAAATACTCAGTTTGTGTGCCAAAACGCTTGCCTCATTAACGACATAGGCAAATCGATTTAGCCAAGACGTGATGTGATTGTATTGTACACAGTTGCGTCAGCAGTCGTAGACACTCCGATTGGCGTTAACATAGTGATACAATTATCTTGAGCTAGCAATTGTAGTCTGCTGCACTGACTGATTTATCAAGTAAAGACAAACCAATGCAGCTCCTCACCTTAAAACTCACTGTTAGTGACTTCAACCGCATTTGCTGTCATTAGATTTTACTAATATTCTTTGCATTACCACGGTTCAGACAAAGTGCTGCAACCCATCAGACGACAGTTTACGCTCCATGAACTCATCGTCGACTTATAAACAAATTTCAACAGGACAGCGTTATTACTTGTAGCCACCTGGCTTTTGAATGTGTAGATAATTTGGCACAAGCCGTTTTAGTTTGGATCAAAAACGCTAATCATGCAATCTAGCCATGTGCCAAGCCATCTTACGGTCAGGAAGACCCAACGATTTGCCACCAGTCAATAAGCTGCACGTTTGCAACTACGTAAAGTGTAGGTCACAAACAGTCGTGATGACCTCGCCGAAACTACATCAAATTCAAACTACATCGATTCTATAATGCCTGCAAATCACTTGTTTCCAATAGCCTCGTTTGCAGCGTTCAGGTCACTTTTTTACCTATTGACTAATATAGCTTTGCAATTTTAGTTTTTAAAAAAAAACATGTGTAACAGAAAGATAATTATCGGCAAGTATTTGTGATACGTAAGATCAATCACACTCCTATGATTTTACAGTATTGTTGCTAATAGTAATATTTATGTTACCATATTTTTAAGTTAAAAAATTTAATAACTGCATTTTGAAACTGAGATAACTTACGCGACCCCAGTCCAACGGCAAATAGGTCATTATAACGTGGTGACCAGCTTAATGCAGTCACAACCATCTTTTTCGATTTCTCAAATGTGAACTTCCATAGAGGCAGCAGCGTGCCAAGGGAATCACGAAATTCATCCGAAGCATCTTCATAAAACGCAAAATCTTGAAGCACATCATCAAACGTGTTCTGATTTATCATCCTTTCAATAGTTTTAATTGGCTTGATAAATGACATTATGCCATCAGACTACAAGTTGATTAAATTTAAAACACCACAAACAGATAAATCTCCTGCTTGTCGTTTATTGAATGATTTTGGCTTGCTAGTCCGCTTTGGCTTGGGCTTCTTCTTCGACGTAGCACCCTAATTACGTAATGTTAAAATAATGTAAAAAACTTTTTTGCTGGCTTCTTTTCGATAGAAGTCGTAAACCGACCATTGAGTAATATTTCCAGAAAAATTGCCTCGAGCTGGAGGTTCAGTTTGATTTTCGTGATCCTTTTCAATAAAAACGCAAAAAGTGCGATACCTTTAATGCATTGTTATACGTTTGCGTCGCATGCTCACAAAAATTGAACTGATTGACCAGTTTTTTAGCAGACTTTTCAGTGGGGCGGGGAGCAGATGGTGCTTTGTGTTCCTTTTCCTTGAAAACGAAAAATCAAATGTTACGTTTGAACACAGGTATACCTGTTGGCCCTCAGCATCTTCAGAGTTTTCATCTGCAATCTCAACCGAATCGATGACACCCAGTTGAATTTTTGCTTCATCGGACTCAATATTAATAAGATTCCCATCAATTTGAAAGTGTACAGCCATTTGGTCAACACGAGGAATCTTTTTGTATTGGTTTTCCTTTTCAGATATTCGAATGTTAACATAATTCTAACCTTGAAATTGAACCGCACAATGTTGTCAGGAGCATGTGGGTTAGCCGCCGTTAAAACCTTCGTTATTTCTTCTTTTAGTGCCTTTTTGAAATACAAAACTTTTGAATAATTACTTCGTCACTGAGCTGTAGTTGCTCTTTTGGATGTAAGGGACCATCGATTTCAGCAAGTCCGTCGTATAAATCCTCACCTCTCAGACTTTTTCTTTTATTTTTAATAGGATAACCCTAAGCTTCGTAAGTTACAGTCAATAACACAAAAACCTTCTTTTTTAACATTTTTAAAATTTACAGATCTTAACAAATAAGGCGAGACTAAACACGGGTAATGGATATTAAAAAGGCTCACGAGTCAGTGATATGACTACCGAACTATGTGATAAAATAAAACAAAGACAAATTCTGCAAAAACATATCTGTGCACAATAGTTAATTTAGGTGTGTTGTATTTGTATAAATTTAGTTTTTAATCAAAATATAACGAATATTGATGATGAAATCTGTCAACTTTTCTTGGGGATCTCGTTGGTTTGCATGGAAAAATTAAACATTCCGTTGAAATATCATATCAAATGGTATGTGAACGCTCATTGCTTCTATGTGAATAATTAGGAATGCAAACAATAATTTAAATTTCCCTTTCTTTGTTAATCAACACGCGACTATCTGGGGATTTCCAGCCTACTGTGCAAATTGTTAAGAATAAGATGTCGGTCCCGGAGCAAACTGACCAGACTATTTTCGGAATTCGTTCTTTTGTTCCTTCATGGAGATAAAGACACAAAAAAAGTCAAAATTAATGATTGGGCTGTCCTTTGGTAATGGCGTGATTTCGCTATTGGAAGTTAATGCCAAGATATTTTGTCTTGCACTGAATTTTATTAGTTGTGGACTGCTGATTCTCTCAGATACGAATCTGCTGAATTGGACATCCACAACTTTATTCATATGTAACCATTTATAATTTGATCTGAATGGCATTTAACGAATGCAATTGGATGGGATTTCCTTACTGCAAATTAAACCAAATCAATATGATGTTATAGGGAAATTCAATAATTCATCTTTCTGCTGTGGATATGTGTAGATTTTTCTAACCTCGATCACATCTGTAAGTCATGTTAGCAAAAATTTCTAAAAATAGTTTGCAAGGAAATGACTAACCAAAGTGCTTGTATTTTAGAAGTAGGCTGTGCTACTAGATGTAAAAATCACAATTTCTCTAGTGCCAACTTTGTTTTTGCATTATGGTGAAAGAGAAATTCTACAGGAGCAAAGGTTTTTAAAATTTGAGTTCAAAACGATTCACAGACAATAATATTCTAGTCAGGCAAATTAGTCCTTTTAATATTACAATAAATAAAGGCACTATCACAAATAGAATTCTAATCAAATTTTGCTCAATTACAGGATTTCTGAGCGAAACTCGGAAATGGGTTAACTATATTCAAATGTGTTACTATTATTTTCAACTCTTTGGATTTATGGCACTCGTTCTACTAGCTCAGTAGGTACTTCGCCCGGACAAACTCATTTGTAACAACTTCAAGCAGCAGTGGTTGTTTTAGGCACCCCAATCATCTGAATTCCAAAAAGCTTGCCATTTATTTTTCTTGATCGAAATATGGTTCCTGGCCACTATATCGCATTATAGACTTTGATTTCGCAATATTCCAAACATTCTCGCTACAGTCAATTAAGGATTACGCATACGTTAAGTGGATGTCTTTATAGAGTATGAGACAAATCAGCATCTTTAACGAAACCTAAATGACCTCTTGTGAGTTTTACAGAAACAACTTTCAAATTTCCCATTTTTTTAGTTTTTCATGTTTAATTTCTTTATTTAACCGCCACAATGAACATCCGCGTTGCAACGGCCGTAACTTCTAGACAACAGGGACTTTATGGGGCACAGATATCAAATCAACATAGGATGCCACCTTGATAAAGACAGCTGAGTAATCGAGTCATAAAGTTAGACAGCAAGCAAGATCGAACTGACGGCCTTTGATAGGCTGATCTCAAAGTGTGAGTTAGAACCACACATCAGCACTCCGTGCAGACATTATCATCCGAGTGCTTTGTGGAGTCTCGTTGGCTAAGAAAAGTTCTCAAGGAGCCGAACACCCCGAAAATTGAATTTTTATCAATGGACGCATGTCTAAATAAAGAAGGCGACTTTCGACTTAGGGTGCCTTAAGCCACATTCACTGGTTGATATTGATAAACGGCAGTTTTAAATGACAATTTAGTGACATAGGTAAAGTAACCCAATTTTCAACTCTTTACTAGTAATTTGGACAAATTTTGACCCTTCACACGACTCTCCGAAGAAACGTTTCAGGCAATTTTATTTACAAAACTGCTTTTCTGGTCCTAACTTCACGTTGAATATTGCACCTTGGAATTTTACTAGTCAGAAACTATTTTAAATTAAAAAGAAACCAGTCGAATCAGTACACATTCGACACACAAGCATTGAAGGTGGCATTTAAACGCCCTGATTTAAAATTGTCATTATAACCTGTCAGATTTAATGTTAAAGTGTAATTTCACGGGAAACTGCATCTCAAATTTTGCTCCATGTAAACGCGAAATATGGCATTAAATAGCATGGGTAATTTTGGATTTAGGTCATTTTTTTGACAAGACTCCAAATTCTGAGCGTGCAATCAGGAGTCGATTTGACAGGCTGCTGCTGATTGGTTGGCATTCACCGCCTCGCGGGGCTGCGCGTCTGAAGCGGCGGGCGGCTGCTTGTTGCAGACGTCAACTGCAAGTACAGTTGTGTAGAAATCTTTGGGGGTGATGCAGCTTGGCAGGCGCTCTTCGATTTCCCGAGTGACCTTGAGTTCCCTCATCGTACAGTCATTTTCCACCCTGCCTGACTCCGGTGCCAAACCAAAAAGAACGGCCAGTGTTTCAACCAGCTCGTTGTGGCGGATTGGCTCACCTGAAAACATTGCAACAGTTAGGTTATCATGAAACAAACTGAAATGGCACCTTTAAGGACTTGAGTTTTCTAGGCCACCCCATCTACCCAATGTTAGTTTGGTTTGGTTACGTCAAAGGATCCTTCACTTTTAAGTGTGTGAAGCATCTCCAAACTACAGATCTTTATTGACTTGCCGGGAAAAGCACAAAAGAAGGCAACCAAACCCACCTATCGTCTGCAACAAACGAAAAAGGCTTGTACGGTGAAGCGCCAGTTCCGGCTGCTCCGAGCAAAGACCACGTTCTGGACAGTCCAACTGATGCGGTTTTTCTGCTTTTTTAATAGCCTCGAACGCAGTTTGAATGTCACTTAACGCGATTTCCTTGTATGGTGCTCGGTGATTCAGCATGACTAAAAGGAATCCAAGAACACGCACACATCAGGGAGTCCAAGTACAGACCTAACCACCTCGAGGTTTGGTTCGGGGTTTACAGAACTTATCACTGCTTGATGCTAGATGAGGCCAAATCAAAGTTTTTGCGCATTAGTTAGCAGCATAATGTGCAAGTCACTTGCGTCCCATATTTAGTTAGAATGGCATTGGGCTCTTGGATCACAATTTAAGCATCCAAAGGTGACTCAAACAAGTGGGCAAAGAATCATTCCGATGTAATGTGCAGGAAATTCGGATAGATTATTCCACGGTATGCAGACGTATTTCCCAAAATCGAGTTTAGGCTCAAGCCCAAAATTACAACCTGCTGTCATTTGACCATCAAATCGGTTTTTCAGCAGAAAATACAGCCTCAAACTAACACCACGGAAAAAAGTAGCCTTGCACACATTACTAAGATGGACTGCACGTAGGAGTGCTACAGTGGCACAGCGGTCAAAACTAACGTGCCCGAAAAATTGACCGTCGGAAAGGCAGTAGTGCCCAATGGACGATTAAACAGTTATCGTGCATTATAGCGGTGCGAAAGCCTCCCAGTCAACTGAACTCACGCTTTACAAAGGTATCGAAATCAATGTCCGTAACGTAATGCCCGGTGGAGGCGAAGCTTGAATACTTAATTTCGTTCAACATATTTTCAATCTGCAAAAAGGAACAAAATTAGCAAGATGAAATGGCTTTGATCGAATGAAAAAAATGTTTTATGAAAAAACTACACACTTTGTAATTATAAGGTGAATAAATACATACGAGGTTGATAAAGAAAACCACGAAAATGTCAGAAATCTCGGTGTCAAAGTCGATCCGTTCTGAAATTAGGCAAACAATAGGTGCTGCTTCAAAACACTCCGTGTGTGAAGGTGGGGATTTTGTCCGAAGTAGCCAGATTGATGGAAATTTCAGCAAGAAAGATCCACAATTTTGATTAATTAAATGATACACCGCAAAGACATCATATGACTCGTTACAAGGCAGCAATTTTGAAAAAAATTCACTGAAATTTAAAGAGCCTTGCGTTGAGTATCACAAGCTGTGCAAGATTAGATGCAAACAAATGGAGTGTTTGTGCATTATTACAAAAAAAGGCGAAATAAATTTCTAAGAACCGGACAGGAATTGACCGCGGGAAAACCAACTGTGCATGCGGTAAAGCCTCGTTTGATCGATATTTTTTAAGTGGATACAAAGGCACACGTTGCAGCCGCGCTTGCATGATTTGCAAGCACAATTTGGGGAAGCATGGTTGCACTTTGTACTGTGATTTTCCCCCACTGCGAATTACGGAACAAATTTGGCCATCAGACAAACCTTACCTAATGCACTTTCTACAACTAGTTGCTGGTCCGCCACACTAAAAATTGGCTTCCCATTGCATTAGCGTCAGTTGCAAAAACAATTTACCAAAGCAGTACCTTAGGTTTTAATTATTGTACCACTAACCATGGTGCAACTCGTTTAATCCCTATTTTTACTCTGGGTACTCCCAGGATGCCATTAGACAAGTGATGCCAACATTAGGCTATAGGCGTCTGCATTAGATAAGTAATATTAACTGACGCTTAGTTTGAACGTTCTGCCTTATCGTCTACTAGCCAATCACCGGTGTGGACATTGAAACTTCGCAAAAGATTATTGTTTACAACAGCACCATGAGCGTTGCTTTGATTTATTCTTAGTAAATGCTGTAAATTATTATTGAAGTGTTCTAAAAGGCAAAAATACTTTATATAAAAATAATTCTTTCAAAACTTGTAAGAAGGCGACTGGCGGAATTTTCGAGTTGTCTTATGTGACCAATTGAGCAAATTTTGCATGTCCACGTGTAACACATGCTGAATTCGAGAAGGAAAGATGTGACAAAAGCCGTAGAGAAAGAGTGCTCACATCGAAATCTGATATGTGGAGCCCAAGCGCCCTCATGAGGTAGGGCAACTCGGTAATGGGCACAGTGTAGGACGTCAACCGTGTTTCCATTGAAGTGAGCCCCTGGACGCGCAACATCGAGAGGTAGAAGTAGTCCTTCATGTCGTTCACCTGATCTGGTGAGAGCATATCGAGGAAGGGCTGCATTGGATCTGCATAGAGTCGAGTTTGAGCGACGAGAGCCCTACAAAACGACTGGTGATGCAGGCCAGTGGGTCACGGGAAGGGAGAGCGTTTTTAACAAGTGCTCTTTACCCGGGATCGGCTTTCCACATGATCATTGAGTTGTCTGAACCACCGGTGGTGAATACGAATCGCTTGTTCGGTGAAACCGCAAGGCCGTTGGCGAATCCTGTGCCGTGGTCGCCACTTGGGTGAGCAATGACCGAAACCGCCTTGTAGGGATCGCCATCTAACGGAACCAACACCAGACCTAGCTGCTCGTTAGTGAGATAGACTAGACAGTTTTTGTTTTCAGGGTTTCCGCAATACAACGGTGTGCCCGGAGGGGTTGGAAAATCATCTTTTTCTGGCAATGGTGCCAGGCTAAATTAGAAATATTGAAATTCATTGCCAAAAACGGTGAAGTTTGTTACTGGTTAAGTTTTGATGTCTCCAGCTCCAATTTTATTTTGGTTTTAAACTGAACTATGTAAATCGGGCGGTGTTTTCTTAGCGCTGACTGGTGTCACGTCATATAAAGAAAATACTCTAGATGTAAATAATATGCGAAAACGTCCTCAGTGTGACAAACTGATTGGTAAAACGAGTACCACGTGGCTGCTAGCTGCATACAGACTTTGGTTCACTGGGAAAAGATTTAGACAGTACGAAATTAGCATGAGATGAGCAAATGACAACACCAAAACACCAGAACTGAATAATGTAGCGTAATGTCTACTAGTTTCACAAGAACTCACGGCTTTTTAAATGTGAAAAAGTACACTTACTTAACAAATGTTGCACCTTTTATTGGTGCCATAACGGTTTTTCTAATGGCTAGCTTATCTGCAGATAGGAGTCGAAATTTTGAATAAGAATTGGCAACACAAATGAAATCCTCGCTGTAAAAATCGCCCAGTGAGGTGAAGCACTGCGGTTTTGCAAACTGCTCCACCTGTATGCGTCTCTTCAATGGAAGAACAGTGTGCTTTGCATTCTGCACGTCGTATTCGACCTAGAGTTGAGACACAGACTAGTGGTTTTATTAAGTCACAGTAACGTTTACAATTTTTTATTGCATTTTAACAGAAGACAATCTCGTGTTCACTTTAATAAGGTCGGATGTTAACAACACAGGTAAAATGCGCGATCTTCCCCGTGTGACCGGATTTAAAAGTCAGATTTCCCTTTTTGTGTTGTCGCGAATTCTGACAATATTTTGAAAGAGAGGGGTAATGTTGGAAGATTTGTAAAAGCGACCACCGCGTGCTGGAAAGGTGCTAGTTGGCCTAAAAAGCTGTTTCCAAGCGAGTTACCCAATCGCTGCCGGGAGTTCTTCCGAGGTCTGGGCAGCGTAAAGAGATTGAAGTGTTCAGAGTCCTGTAATTGGCAACCCCTTATGCCCACCAGGTTGCCCTTGCTACTCTGATGAAAAGAGTTATTTATGGGCAGTGGACAAACGGGTAACTCCGGTTGCAATAGCGAATGAAAATTGTCGTGCTGGCTGATACCAGCAAACCCGTCTACAAGTACTATCCTCTGGTTTCGGAATTGCTACTGAGACGCACTGAATCAGCGCCGCTAACAACCTATTAGGCGACACAAGCGCGGCTAAAACAGATCTGGCCATTCGGCGAAAACCAAGTTCAGGTTGTGGTATAGAAGCCATCGGAAGAGGGCCTGTGGTGATGTCCTTGGATTAAGAAGGCAATGACACTGATGATCATTCTTTTGAGGAATTGAAGTCTTCCGGGGGAAGGGTGATGGGTGTCAACGAATGACACAGACAAGATGTAAAAAGAGCCCTGCTTCTGTTGATAATTTCAAATTCAGGTCTCATATCTTATGGCTGAACTTGAGTTGCGATTTCACCTTCGTGGTTTGGGATACATACACTTGAATGTGAGTGATTACGTGTGTAGGTCAAGACAACCATTTACCGATATATCTACTGGTTTCAGAGGGACGATCTGCGAAACTTTCAGCGTGAAACCCCCAGGTCTTCATATTAGCAATAACCTCAATAACTTTTTCGCGTCATCCAGACTATATGACCCTTTTTTCAAAGTAGACAGTACTGATACAGGCGGAACACACGGGGAGTTTGTTTACAAGCCAGATTTCACAATTTAGCGACGTTTGAATTGTTTACGAAAATTTTAACATCACACTTATGAACCCGTGTACAAATAATATCACTCATTGGTTGATGTAACCCTTAGTTATCCGTATGCTCGCTCCGTAGCCCCTGACAATGCGCCTTAACGTAACCTATAGAGAATTATCTAGTTCAAAGACGATTTTTTGATCCAATTATAGTAACTTGTTTGTGTCACAAATTCAGGAATAACTCTTCACAAGTGGACAGAAGAATTGGTCAGAAATAAACTACACGTTGACGTGTCGGCTGACAAGCATCTAGGAGTTCTTAAAGACAAGAATCTGCTAGCTGGATATATTTTTAGTGTGCCTGGAAAAACCCTCCATGAATTTTTGCTTTAATGTATCAGGTATTTTAGAAGGCTCGAGCTTTTAAGATAGCAAATTCACCACCGAAATTGCGGCAAAATCTGAGGACTTCCATGAGTCGTACGCAAGGGATGATGCTTTCAAAGCAAGGGGCTTTGACATACCACCATTCGGTCTTCACCGAGTGTAAGAAGTCTGGGCAATTCAGGGTTGGAGGTCGCCTTGAACATGATGTCCACAATTTCGTCTCCGTGAGCGCAGTATCGGCCAGCGAAGACCCACTTGTACTTGTTTGTATCGCACAACTTAACCATGCGTAACATCGTCGTTGAGAAATGCGAATCCTGTGAAATGGCAGGAACATCGCAAAACTATGCAGTCAAGACTACATTAACAACAATGACGAAACTAGACTTGGAAATCTTGAAATGAACCATAAACCTGGATCCCGCAAGAGACCCTCCCTGGTTCACGAGTTTTGCAGTGCATTTGGCAAAAAAAGCCACAGAGCTAATTATTGTTGCTGAAGAGGTCTACTGACAAGTAACTGGTGGTGCTCACAGCAATATTTTAACCATGACAACTGTTTAAACCTGCCACGTCGTGCCACCTAACGCCACTCGACACTTTTTCCATGACCAGCACATTCCCCTGGCATGCCCTGCGATGTAGGTGTTTACACACGCATACACACACACCACTAGTGTCATTGGTATAACGCTAATCACGGGTAGTACCCTATAAGGCAAAGTGTAGTCAACAACTTGGCCAAGGTAGATTTTGGTTCAGTGTGTTGTTGTTGAGTCAAAGGAATGGTATGTCGAGACCAATTCATCGGCCTTATGACCTCGGCCTGTCGAGACAGTGTAAAGCAACCACAACAAATGCCTCAAAAAAATTCTAGACTGTTCTGGTGCTAGTGCTCTGAAGGGGCCTGCGGGTTAGTGGGCGACCGCATGTGCGTTTCACGTTGATTTGATTCGTTTAGTCGCTGGGCTGAGTGAACTCGTCCAAGCAAAGATACTCATATAAATTTACTGAGAAATGCAAAATTTTTGCAAGACATTGGTCGCTCCGATGTGACATTTGGCCCCGAACGAAGCTAGACGTCTCGAATCGACATGTTCAGAACACAATCATAAAGGGACAAAAACACCGACAGAGACGACTAAAAGGTGAGTGAGTTTGGACCCCAATAGTAGAAAACTACTGAGCGTGAGCAGTGTGGTGGACTGACAACCACCTCGCGTGAGTGATGCGTGCATGAGGGCCCGGGTGGACCAATGATACACCCCCTTTTGTTATTGGCCTGTCAGCATTCTCCAGTTACGCACGCGCACTCACACGCCCACAAAGCCACTTGGCTGGTTTGGCACTAGTAAGCGGTCGCGGTCTCTGTCGCCTCCTTTTCCCCTATCCTCGGGTTGTAACGGGCTGTTAATTAGAGGGTTGTAAGGTAGTGCTAAATCAGCTAGCCACTACAAGAGTACGGCAAAAAGGTCACAGAGGCCTAGAAACACCGGGAGGCTGCATTCGCCCAGACACGCTTTCCCCCTCCCCCCACCCCACTCCTCCCATGTTGACCGCGCGCACAGATGCCCACAGACGGGACTCACAACGTAGGCGCAGTATTGGCCGTCTGGGCTGAAGGCGATTTTCTTGATGACACCTTTGGCATAATCGAAAGGTCTCCGACTTGCATCGTTCAAAGTGATGGCATCGAGGAACATCACACGACCAGAAGTAAACCCGATGGCTAGAAACAAAAAACAACAGGAAACGGTCTAATGAACGCTCAAATCATGGAGTAGTTTTACAAATCCACTGAATCTTTGCGGCTGATGGTGGTAGTGTGTGGGGTTTTAAAGAAAGCAAAGCGGGTTGCAGGCTTTACGACTAGTCTGATTACATTTTCATGTAAAGCATTAAAAGAGACGTAAACACGACTTAAAGCATCAAGGTAGGTCCCCAACACGATCGTCTAAGCCGTTTTCTGAGAATTTTAGCTAAATCTTTGAGAAAAAAGCAGATACTTGAAGTGTGAAAGGGAAAGGGCCCGAGCATACCAAGGTAGCTGCCACTCGGATCATAGGCACAGGCGTTCAGATGTTCGTTGTCGAAAACGCGCGTTCGTACAGGTACCCTGAAGAAAAACGCATAGACTGTGGTTCGTGTCATTCTGCAGAAATGAATCCGCATAAAATAGAAAAGGCTGAAAGTGACCTTAATGCTGCGTAAATTCAGGATGTACTTACAGCCATCTGTAGTTCCATGTCTTGACCATGCCGCTATAACCAACGGTGGTTACTAGGTGCCTTCAAAGAAAATAAATTGCAAATCATTCCTAGTTTTAAGACCCAGAATTCGTCCGGTCAATTTACCGTAAAGGATGGACGGCAACAGCGTTGACGGTTGCACATTGTTCTCGTTCGAGAAGCTTAAACATTTTGTAAAAATTACTGTTAGTGTACAAGTGGACAACTACTAAGCAATGTGTGGGGACAAATTCTTGTGTCCAAGAGACCTCACCTTTATGGTCTTCTTTTCGACGCGTATAACCAGAATGATCGCCCGTGTGGTGCACACAATAAAATCCTCAGTGACAAAAGAAGGTTCTGAATCGTCTTTGTCATCAGAGTGCCTTCGAGCGTTGAATTCTTCAAGGCAACTATGAAGAATTAAACGATGTGGTAACGGACGGGACGCTGTGCCATAATAGTTACGCAACAAATGACAGCCCTACTAACAAATTCCACAAAACCGACGAAATACACGTCACCGGTTAAGAGATAGCAGATGTAGGCACTAAAACCATGTCTAAATGACTCAAGGGACAGAAGCGACTAGAGTCAAACGGAGGAAAAAAGTGTTGCATGTTGAATCGGAGAACGATTAACAATAAAGCCTTAATCCGCATGGTGTTGTGAAGCTGGAAATCAGAAAGCGACGATGCATCTTCTGTCCGATTCTGAGCATTTGACCATACGACCCAAATTACCTGGTAACAAACAGTACAAAACACCAAGAACAAGCAAAACAAAACAGACTGGAAAGGATAGTTTGAGAAGATGAGATGTGGCAAGTAGAACACTCAACACTCTTTATTCGGTATACTTGCCCAAAAATGGGAATCAACTCCTCATTCGACCTTCGAAACCTCTATCTGGCTACTGGTCATAGATAATTCGTGTATTCTAGCAGCATAAAGTACGCGCAGGTAGTAAACACTGGGGGTATTACGGAAATATACGTGATATGGTCAAAGCAAAACAATGACAACTTACAGTTTGTCGTGAAGACTGTGCCTACAAATCGAAATAGCAGAGCAGTGAAAAGTCAATTAAAAGGGACAAAATTCCGGCATAGTCTGAGAGTGATCGGCATTAATAAGTATTCACTTATGCAATCGGCTGAGTTACTTAACTCACTACAATCTTTCTTAGAAATTGGTTCTTTAAACAAAGGGTTTCATATTACGCTGTGGTGTACAGGTCCTGCACTCGGTTTGCGTAGTGTTATTTTCACATTAAAGCTAGACAATTAGAGTACATTTGTCCTATCATATTGCAGTCTAGAGTTTTTGATTTCATTGGGTAACTTAAGAGCCTAGCGAATGCCTTGTCTGGGACGATTCTTCGGAAATGTTTGCTTTGGAGGCGCATTTGAATGCAGGAGATGAGGGACGAAATGTGCTTAAAAGGCTCATGAAAGCGAGGAGAATGTCAAGTAATGCGAATTTAGGAAGAAATTTGGTTTAGAATGGCGCCCAAAACGATCTCTTAAATCCCAGTTTTGGTCGTTCTGAACGCAATATTTACTCCATCTTTAGTTAGCAATACGATTTTGATGGGTCGATCAAGTTTTCCATGCAGAACCCGCAATTCGGTTTTCTTTCGAGCGGTATCCGTGCACATTCTTTCAACCTTCCCGCCAAAGGCTGACCTCAAATGTGGCACCGTGACGTGCCACTGTTGCTCGTTGGCGTAGCAGACACGCATGCGTTTACTGCGCATTATGGACAAACTTGTACGCTATACCACCAGAATGAAGAGTTTCGGGAATAAGTAGGTCATCTTGAGCATTAAAAGCGCTAACAAATAACTCCTGCCCAAACATACGAATTTGAGGGTTCTTTCTGCACAAAGCTGATTGACGAAATCGGACCATATCGGGTATCATTATGCCATTTAAGAAGCTTAAAGTTCATGTCCGAGAACCGAATCTGACCCCTTTCGTCGCCCGTAACAATGGCCAGTTTTGACGACACACTAAAAAGAAATGCATGCAACATAAGCACCATTACAAACGAGGTCCTCTTTAAGTCAAGTTAAGGCAAATTAACTCACCAAGATGTTATAGTGAGGTAGGTGATTCCAACCGGGTGGATGGGAACAAGCTTGATTGCAACTTTAAAACATGATCCTACGTTGGCCTCTGAGATAAAACGGAGAAACAGCATTAGGGCATGGAAAGCGCCGCGAGGTGCTGCGCTCCTACTTCTTCACGAAATATTTGTAACCAGACAAGAAATCGCATTTAGTCATCGCACAGACACAAGGTAGACTGTTGAAAAGTATGTCAAAAGGTCCAAAAGTTTTCGTGGTAAAAAGAATCTAAGAATTGGTAAACCCAGTTGACGAGTCCGTGCCAACGGGCCCTTTACTTGGGGCTGATTTCCTCTCCACCGGTATTAATCGTGCGCAAAGAACGCGCATTTCGGTCCCAGAGAGCCAAGGCAAAATGGGAGGCGGTGATCACTTGAAAACGCCACAGTGGAGGCGAGTAAGGTAGGTCAGGTGATTTGTGACTGGAGTGCGCGGATGGTAGTGCTGGACATAACAAGGCACTATGGTCATTTGATGCCTAAATGAGTGGACCACAAACAATCATAAGCGTTTGTGGTTGGTGGCTACCCATCCCACCTAAATTGGGGCTTGTTCGGGAGGGCACAAGTGAACTCTGTTTGTTGCTCTTGCAGGAGGGAATGTCTCTACCGGGGCTCAAGTACTTGAAAGATCTGATTAAAGCGCATATTAAGTAGTAAACAGAAATGGATTTACCTACCAGTATCGTGTAAACTAGTACAGCTAACGGAATTCCATTTGGCATTGCCCGATTCTACCAATTCTAGGCAATTCGTAAAGGCGTTTTCCCAAATGGTCAAGGTGACCCAGAAACCCAGCAAAAGTACCCACGACGTCACGAAATAAATCGTGACGAATTGCGCTCCAGTAACGAACTGGGAGCAACCAAATCAGAATCAATACACATGGGTCGCCTTGGCATAATTCGCCCTCAAAACCGCCTGCAGGTATATTGTAGCACTTAATCAATACTACAATTCTTTTGCTACCAAAGTCCTACCCGAAACTGCATCAATTACCTCATTTTGCTTATTGGAATTCCTGCGAATGCCTATGGTTTAAGAACCGCGCCCCCATTTCTTCAGAGGTTCATGGACTTGATCCAGGGTCGCCTCACTCTCGTCTTCGTCCACACTCATGATATTAAGACACCACTAGCGAGGACAACAACGAACATTTACTGCATTTACAGCTAGTCATCACCCGTCTAAAGGCCTATATTATTACAATGGACTGTTTGAAAACTTTTTTTTCGAAGAGAACAGCGTAGATTTCCTCTTAATCGATATCAGACCCTCGACTAAGAAGACAGCGGAGATTTGGGAGTAATAAAGTAGCCGAATCGCCTCTCTACTTGCGTGGTCTTTTATGATTTGGATAATCAATGCGTACGTTTCATTGAGCAAGAACGCAATGCTCAATAAGGAGGCGAAAAACACCTTTTAAGCTATGAAGGATGTCATTGCGAATGTTTTGAATCTGTGATACAGAAGGAATGCAGGAAAACCTGTTATGCCAACAGATGATAAGCAGACGAGCTTTTAATAAAAGGTGGAGAGTAATCACAGGATTCTGTGAATGTAAATCAACACAAATCTGCCTTCCTCGATTCGAAGCAATGCTGCGCTTTTCCGTATTCCTACCTTGCCTAAACCACATGTCAACTTCGCTGACGCGATTCGAATATCCTCGGGCTTTTACTGCGTCCCACCAGCAACACTGCCAAAGAAACATCTGCTACTCTCGTGGGCGGTCTGTTTGAGCTTGTGGCGAGCAACAAGCCAGCACAGTTAGCATTCGTGAGCGGACGCAGTTTGCAAGAGCGAGCGAACACAAATCAATCGATTTTCGTGAATGCACTTCACGCAAAGAGTACTACAAAAGTGCACAGGTCACCAGGACCTAATTCCTATTAAGTGTTAGAAAGCACAGACAACAACCTTGAGAGCATGATGAATGTGGCTGTTAATGTACGCTAAAGAGATTCTGGATGTACGAGTACTTGAAATTTCGACTATTTGCAAGTTTGACTACAAGGTGAACTCATCAAAATTGGTGTGGCGACTAGCAAGCCAGCACACTTAGCATTCGTGATCGAACGCAGTTTGCAAGCGTGAGCGGCCACAAATCAATCGATTTTTACCATGAATTTACTGTCGTGGACAGACAGCCACCGCGCGTGAGTGCTGCTTGCGTGCTTGCCCGACGGTATCAATGACTCATCCTCCTTGTTATTGATTTTTGTTAGCAGTCGCCTGTAACGCACGCGTATCGATACGCACACAGAAGTTAGTTTGCTCGATTTTACTCGACTTTACTTGACTGGCGTGATGCGAATAAACGGTCGTGTTCTCTGTCGACTCTGCCTTCTCTTTTCTCTGGTTGTGACCGACTGTTATCTATAGGGTTTTGTGGTAGTGCTAATTCAGGCCTCTACAAGCTGATGACCGAGGTACATGCATTGAATTACTGTTTTCTGGATTTTGATTCTGGCTTACAAGCTTGTAGGTGCACTTTACTACAAACTGGGGGTCGCAGTTGCCATGGCCTGTCCTTTCTCTGGTGTTAGTTTTTTCGGCCTGTCGATCGGCGGGGTCGCAGGGTGGTGCAAAGCGTACTAAAAAGCTTCCTTAAAAGTTCCGCACAGAAAGTACAAACCCACTGGCGGAAGTGGCGTTTCGTTTACTTTTTCTGCGAAATTTAATGAATGTGTTAGGGGCCCCTAAATTATTTGGCAGGAAGATAAACCAGGCATCTGGCACTGTATTATTGGCATTGGTGTAGTTTACTTTAGGGCAACAGGCGGACTTCAAGTTTGAAAAAGATTAAAGATGTTATTACACAGAAACCTGAATAATTTTGCTTAAATCATACTTAGGGCGACATAATCTGGATTAATTTGAACAAATAAAAATCTGTAACACTATCACGATAAAGTCAGCAAGCTGAAAGGTGCATCCAAATATTGATAGAACAAAATCCATAGGCGACATTGTTGCATGAGCAGACGTTAGAGTTAGTGCGAAAAGCTACTGAAAATATGTTAGTACTCACGGGTTTGCAATCTTCGGCTGGTGCCCCAGACGACGACAAATCCCAAAGTTGTTGCTGTTATCGCCATGTTGGTACCCGGAATGTACTCAGACATGACAAATTTACCGTAATTCTTCCGGAAAGTCTCGGAACTGAGAGTGGGTGAGTGTGAGGTCATGCATCCTTCGATTTTCTTAAGCGGGGAGATGAATACCCATTAAGCGGGCACAAGAACAGCTAATTAAATAACGATAGCTGTGCCTTTGCAAAGAATGCTTTATTGTAGGAAAAAAACAAATTGTGGGCTTCTCAAACCTTGGTATTTATAAGGGCATTTGCTAAGATGACTTGGTATAGTCGGTGTGCATTCGAATCTTTGCAGATGGGCAGATAAGTGGTGTTTTGCTCTACGACATATTTGACTCTCGCTTGAAACAAAGTGAAAAAATGTCACTAAAAACCGTAGGGAGTGCTTGTGTTTCTGATCCCTAAACCCCAATAGGCAACAAGAGTAAACTTGAAATCGCGAAGAGTCTGTCTAGAGTGCAATCGTAAGAAATTACTCTGTATCAAGATGTCAACCTGATCTTAAACCTGTAAGTCAATGGCACTTTTATACGTATAATAGACATATGTCACTTTAAGCAATGCCGTCCTACCCAGTGATAGAATACCACGTGAGTTTCGCTGTTGGACATGACCTGGAAGTAGTCATCCTGCTTAAAGGCTATCTTCCTTTGAGTGCCGATGTTGTCCGGGAGTTGAGTGTAGCACAGGGGTTCATCTGTAGATATAGACCAATTCCAAACAGCAAAGAGCTGATTGCCATCGTCAGCATTCAGCGTTGCTAGGTAACGAGCGTCGGGCGTGAGTTGCATGGCGAACACGCCCCTCGTGTGGATGTCCAGCATCGTGCGCACCGCCACGTGCTTGCGCGCGTCCCAGACGATGACTGCGCTGTCCGGACCGCAGTCGCCCGAGCCCAACCAGCGACGATTTCTGCTCGCACAAGTGCACACAATGGTGTTAACCTGTTGGATAGCAAAACAAACCCACCATTTATCTCCAGCTTTGTTGGTAGAGTTCATGGGACACGCGTTAGCAGGCTTGTTTAAAACTTGGCGATACGATTTACCATGAAAGTGTAAATGAAATGAGAGCAACAGGTGACCTTGACATAGGCGCGCAGGGAACACTTAAACCCACACAATAAAGACGTTGGCCTAATTCGGGATCGTCCTGTACTTCGTTTAGGTAACAAGCACATTGAGGGGGAAAATTGTTTAGTGAAATGCAAAAACCTCCGTTGAGGCCACCTTAGTTACGATGTAAAAATGCAAAATCGAGAAGAACATCGACCACAGGGAAGTGTGTTAATAGCAAAATCTTGACGACAATGTTATCTAGCTATCGCGATTTGTAACAATTCCGCAGAACAAAACTAATTGACATCAAATTCAGGTAGAAACACTGGCTATAAACTTGATGATACTTGACGTCAATGCCATTCACCACGTTAAGATTTTGGTGATAGCAGTTGGGGCAACGTGGACATTTATAACTGTAAAATTCTTTTAACTAGTGAAAAAAACTATGAAACACTAACATCTCCTTCAGTCACACTTGGCATTTACACCTAGTGGCAACAGTAGACTCACATGTCCACGAAGAATATGCTGTTCATTCGTATTCACATCATAAATTACAGCCAAGTGGCCAGACACAAAAAAGACTCGGAAGCTATCACCGTCGCTAAGATTAATGATGGGAACATTTTGGTTGAAGCTGAACACTCTGATGGGCTTGAGAGCTTCTCGCAAACCAACGGAAGATGGTATTTTAGTCGGTTGACCATCAGCACCTCCTTCAGCTCCGTATGGGGTTGGCCTTGGCAGAGTCCGCCTGTCACACTTTAGCGGGTCGTGGGTATCAGTATTTTCAGGCCCCCAAGAGCTTTTGATGCGTATTGGGAAATAAAGGGCGTAGTTAGTATCTTCCGCGAAGAATTTCCCTTCGTTTGAATTGGAAGCCATGTTTTCGGAAACATACGCTTCTTTAGTTTCATTGGAAAGCGGCCCATGCCTCCCAGCATCAGAAATTATCCCATCTATGGAATCAAAAGTTGCATATAAGTAAAGGATAGCTTATCAATGGAGACTAGCGATCTAATTTCCAGATATACTCTGTATATGTGAAAGTAATTTACTTCCCTGACAATGAATGATGCCTGGTTCTATTTATGATGAAATGATGGCTAGTTAAAAGAGAAGAATAAAAAACGTTAAAATTTTGCCCTCTAATATTTAGTATTTGAGGCAAATAGTCCATGTAACAGAAGCAGAAAGAACAATATTTGCTAGGATTTCAAAATCCAAAGGAATTTAAAGTCGGACTAGGTTGAATTCTTAAATTTTAAATTGATATAGGGCCTGTAAAACAAGTACAAATTGGTTCAAACAAGAGCTATAAAAGAAGACACAAAAGAAACAGACTTTGAAAACCCCAAAAGTCAGAAAAACATTTGGGCAACGACTAAAGTGAGTCAAATTGGGGAGTTAGTAAACATCTTAATAGCAAAATCCTATGCTCTGTGTCCAGCAGAATTTAGACAGAAATGTGTGGTATTATTCACATTTAGCAATAAAATTACTATCGAATTAAAACTAAATATTAAGCAAAAAGTTTGACAGGCTTTATTACACCCCATAGTATGAGTAACAAAACCCGTTTTTTGCTGTCTGCATCTAAACACAACATAGACATGATTTTGATGGTTCAGATCAAAAAGTAAAGCACTTCATACGCAATCGGGAAAGTGTGCAAAACAATAAATTTAAAAAACAGGAGATACATACCTAAATATTGGATATCATACTATTTTTGAAAGGCACAGTACTTGCCTCAATTAGTTGTGCCATCATTTAGTTAAAACACAAAGTGACAAACGTCAAAAAAAAATCCTTGCCGTTTACAAAAGTTTTAGCAGAAACATTTTTGTCAAACGTTTTATTGGCTGGAGAACAGCTCAATATTAATATAAAAAGCGACAAATTGGGCTATTATAAGGGTGCTTATTGCAATTCAAAGCAGAATCAATTAAAAATTTACATTACCAAGTGATAACTAAAGAGGTAATTAAAATTTAAATGTAATCGTGAATAGCATTGCCACAAAATGGATGGGCAATAAGCATCTGAATAACCAGTAAAATTATAACGGTTAAATGCTTATTACTGCATTCTTTTTTCTTTAAATTGTTGTGGTGTTTTTGGGAACCTCATCAGGGCCGGCGATATATACTGACAAGGCCCTACCGAAAGAAGAGTGGAAAATGCAGATGGAATGCAACTCAACTAATTTACTAATACAGTAGCGATTTGTTCGTCCAGGATAACACGTCGCTAAGCATCGGTCCTTGAACGAATATAGTTACGTGAAATAGCTTCAAGTGAATCAATTGAATCAAGTTCGCTTATGATTGCTAACTACACTCGCCACAAAAAATACGCAAATTTAGTATTAACTACAAAAAAAATTCAAAACCATTTCAATTAATTGAAAAAAGTGAATCAATACAGCCGAAAAACGTAAATGGAAAATTACGAAAATTAAGTAATTTGAAAAGTTTAACCATGTCCGATATTTTGTAGTAACCCTTTTACCTGTGCTGCCATCAAGCAACTGTTTTTTATCACTGTCCGTGGAATTGCCAGGATTCTCTTCCATCATCACAACTGCATATACTAAATTAAAAGTATGCCACTTAACACACACACTCAAGGTCAAAGAAAAAGTATAAAACAACTCAAATCTTTGAAAAAACCGTTAAGATTGTATTGGGCTAATGTTTAAAAATTAATTCAAATATAGGTTGCTTCACATTATCAGAAAAAGTAGTATTTTTTTAGTCTCAAAATGGAAAAATTGATTCAAAACACTATAGTTGTTATGGTAACAGGTAAATTAATTAGTGATTCAAACCGAGCTTCGATTCAAATGCTATTTACAAATGCAGCATATGTATCAAAAAAACTAAAATTAATTTGCATTGTAAATTTTTTAAGCTGACGAAGTCTGCCAATAACCCTTGTATCTATCCGAATTTGGTTTGTATTTTGTGTGTATTTGGATAAAGTATGTACATGCACGAGGATTTTTAGTAAAATTAGTATCAGTCAACGCAAAGCCAAAAAAAATTAAATCAAATTTACTAACATTAGTGTCACTGTCTTAGATGCTTTATTCCATTTAATATATTCGAAGGGATTATCAGCCCCACAAAGGTTGCTGAGGATCATAAAATTGACATTATTCATTTGAATGATAGTAAGCTGTTTAACTAAAAAAGCAAAAACTGTAATATTTTATTAATTTTTGACGTATTCATGAATGCGCTTAATAAAAGTATGCTTAACAATATGGAACAATTTAACCAATATAAATAGGTGCTAAATTTCGAAAAAATACAGGATAAAAACACAAATAATCATAAAAATCATATTCAAAATCAAATCTAAATCACAAAAAATGGATTGCTAGACCTTTTACTCCTAAATTTTTGGATGTTATATTTTTATTAGTAAATGAATCTGAGGGTAATAAACAACCTATTCGTAATTCTAATATTTACATTATTGCTTGCTTAGATGATGATCGAACAAATCATTAAATTTATGCATAAGTTGCATATAATAGTTAAAATATTATGCAATGTATGCACCTTATAGGTGTGATGTAATAGCCTTCTAATCAAACTAAATGTGAACAAATGCCTGAATTTAAGTTAATGTTGATTCAGGGACAGGCACCCATTTTAAATCTTGATTAAGATTAGTATCTGTGTTCACACATTTAGCTGTTAGCTGTACAAATAAGGTAACGTTAGTTTCCCTTTTTCATTTTCAATTTTTATACTGGCACTTTTTATTGAAATATTGATTCATACACTTTCGAACCCTTACTCATAAGCTTTTTCATCCAGACGCTTTCTGTCTTCTAGTTTTCATTGCACCTCGCTAACATTAACTTAAACCGTTTTCGTTGTGTTATGCCACAAATTTTTTATGCATTACCCTTGTTTCATCGTGTTTTTTTGCTGGCCCAATGTCCGACTTATTGCATATAGTCCTAAATAAGTGTGTGACTCCCGTAATGCGTGTTCTTATTCCTTCTTGTGAGTTTGCGCTTTAAACATTAGATGCCCTTTACAATTGAGCCTTTAAAAATTTTTTGGATGTCTGTTAACTGAGATTTAACTGGGTTTACAGATCCAGGTTCTTTTTATTTAATCTCTACTTGAACTTCTATGCGTGGTTTGCAGTCTTCGGACCCTTTACAGTTAGTTTTGCATCGGAGGTGCCGATAATCTGCTTTATTAAGTGTTTAACGTGTATAAAAATACGTTTTTGATTTTTTTTCCGCTATTATCGCTTTGCTAATGTGATATGGGACAAAACGTTTTGTAATTAGGCATTGCTAAGAGTGTCAGTGATTTTCTAACCTTTGATTTATGCGCAAACTAATAATTACTTGTTGGGTTCTAATTTTAGTAGGAAATGTGTAAAAGCCCGCTTACCGAATTCTAACGTAGGTGCTTGATATCCGTGCATTTTCCATCTTTCGTAAATAAGAGCTGCCGGGATGTCATTCAACCGGAAATATGGAATTCACTTTTTACGTCTTGTGAAGCGACATTAATTTTTTATGAGTATTAACGTAGATAGATTGAATTTTTTCATTATCGCGTCATTTTTCACCCCAAAGTTACTGCACTTTCTTCTTCGTCACTATTTATACGAGTTTTGGTCAAATCTATGACCTTTATCTTTGGTATGCCTTTTTATCATCGTCAATCGCGCGTTATTTATTTTTAATTCCTCCTGCTTAAGAATAGTGTACATGTGTTTTATCTACGTTGGGTCGCTTTTCATTCTGCATGACATCCTCAGAAACCGCCTATTTTAGTTAATGATTGCCCATTTGTTGGTCAGCATATGATTTTGATCGTGTGATTTTTAGACATTTAATCGCCTCCATTTGCCTCCTTTATGTCCCGTCCTCGTCGTCAGCCTCCCCCGCGAGAGCCCAATGATGAGGAGAAAAATATCATAGTGTCTGTGCGTCATTGTGCTCGTGAGTTGGATGATATCCTCCAGGGTGCGAGGCGAAAAGCGCAGGCTAGTGCTCAACATTTTTCGGATAAAACAGCTCCTTCGCTGTTTAGAGGATTGGAATCCTACTCAGATATGTACTCAAAATTAAAAATCAAATCCCGTACCGCACTTACACGGTTGTTTCAGAGATCTCGCGACTTGGATGATATGGTAGACGCTCAAGAAGCAATCGATGAAACAGAAGAATGTTGGAGGGGTTTTCTAGCGAATCTAGACACCGAAGTCAAAGCTAATTCTCCTCGGTTTTCATCGTCAACTCCTCTGAAGCATGTTGGCGATTATATCGAACTGTCTAAACCTGTTCTCGTCGACTGCAGCACGCTTGATGAATGCAATTTGCGCCAAAAGTTGTCGGGATTTACAAGTGCTCTCCTAATCTTTCAACCCGCATATTTGCCAGATCTGGCCGCGCGATGCAGGTCGTTTGAAATTTCTAAAGTGATGGTGCGTATTTTTCCTGCTTATCACTGCTGCCCTTAGTATAAACTTGCAGATGTCATCTGAATTGGGCAATAATTGTTACTAGCTCGGGTTATATTCATTTCAGCTCCCGAAATGTTAAAATTGAAGACAACAACCAAAGTAATTCGCGTGAGATCTTTCGTCTCTGACTAGCTATCTCAGGGCAGTGAATTGGTTTTGTTCAGAAGGCACCTCGTTTGCATGGAAATCTGTCGAATAATTTTACTTAATTTAAATTTTGAATTAGCAGTTTGTTTCTCGTGCCAATGTAATGACTGTGGCGCGAATCGAGACTGACAGGAGGCTAATAATTGTATGTACGCAGGTTGTATAGATTATCCTACCACTTTTAACTTACTTAAACATTATTACTTTTGGCCCATTTTTTCATAACCTTTCTGTCTTTGTCTCTGTTAGATGTGTCTCACAAAACCTTTGTTATTTGTTTATCTCTTATCAACAAAATGGCTGTTAGCTTTTGTCAAAATATGTTGTTTCCATCTCCTCTGGAAGCTAAGTAGGCATCGTTTAATACCCACTACAAATCTCCTTGATTTAAACCTTTTTAGGCAGACTTCCATCGATTGAACGTTGGTTTTGTTGTCATAACCTGGGGCCCTGAAGACGTTGTTCAATCATGGAGCAAGCACCTGTTAAAGCATATCAAATGGCCTGTATTGTGGGATCGCGACAATTTTTTCACATCGTTCCTTTCCTTCAATCGTGGTTGTGCCGCCGTATGTGAAATAAATTTTAATCTTGCTTGTGTATTTCGGACACTACCCTGACGTGCTACTCTTTTCAGTTATGGGCTCCAGAAATGCTCGATTTTTGCGCTTACCAAAGCATTGCCTACAAGCGCTCAATTCAGCCTCTGCCGCTTGACATTGACTGGCGAGTGTGGAACTGGGTCGGTGGTGAGGTGCTCATTGCCTCCCCTGCTGTCAGTCGTCTGCTCCACAAGCGCGACATGGAAGCGCAGGCCAAGCAACTCGCTGAGGGCATCAGTGGGCAGAACCCAGACGTGTCGCCCCCGTCTAAGCTCCCTGACACTGACACCAGTTCTAGAATCTGCCTCATTCATCGGGCCGACAACATCGCCCATATGGCGCCTCCTGGTAGTATTTACCAAGCTGCTCTAACCTGCTATGCTATTTCTCAGGGCAAGACTGAGGAGACGGTGGTAGAAGAAATTCGTATGAATCGGCGACTTGCCACCCCGCCGGAGTCCAGTCGCTTACAATATGAACGCAATGCAAGGATGTACTACGACCCTGAGACTGAACTTTATTACGACTCCAGAACTGGCTACTTTTATGATGCCTTAAAGTCCACATATTACTACTGGTCGGAGAATGAGCACAAGTACATCCCTGCAAACGACCTTGTCTGCGCACAGGAGGCCGCTGCACACACGGCGCGAATGGCTGCAGCCCAGGCGGCGGCCATTCGGATGGTGCAGGAACAGGAAGCAGCAAAGTCAGCCGCTGCTCGTGTGGCCGCCCAACTCGCTGCACTTCGCGCCGAGAAAGACGAATACGCTAGCTACGCCTATGCGACATGTGTGCTTGGCCAGGAGGACGTCTCGGGGTCCTCCGCTGTGGATCCTTTGGCCTCCTTGCATCGAACGACCGGTGCTGCAATGGAGGACTCCCTGAAACTGATTGGCGGAGCGAACCAACGTTCTACTTCCTTTACTGCAACACCCCCACCATCAGATGTCCTGTATCCCCCTGGATGTACCCCGCCCCCGGGTGTCTGATGCAATTTTGACTTATACAGAAATTCCTATTAAATTGTCCATAGCATCAGCCATGTTGGTTTTTGCGTTAAATGGGGAATTCGGACCTGTAAGTTACTCCTCACGTTCACTGCCGCCATCGGACAAAAATGTCGCAAATTCCGGAATGCAATAAACGACACGGGTCTTTCTGTGTGAAGCACGACGTCAGTAGTCGGAATCAGGCGCACATTTCCTGCTGGCATTTCCGACACATTTGAATTTGCGGGCGCACCTGTGTGGTCTTTCGTATTTAATCCTTAGCATTAGTCCAGGTTTACTTTAATGGCACCTCAACTCGCCCAGCAATGCACTCACATCTCGGCAGTGAAAAAATCTCGCTTGCAATCACTGTAGACCACTCAATAATTCGACAACGATGTCACACCTCAGGAGGTGCAGGATATTGGGCACCGGTAAGTCCCACGTTTCGAATTTTGGCCCCTGCCTAGATAGCAAACCGAGCTTGACTGTTCATTTTCATCCACTTGCCTCTGATAACAATGTGTTTGATATGGCTCGCGCAAGCTGCACATTTGCTGGTCACCGTATTGCCCAAGCGGCTCGTCTGTGCTACGCTAAGAAACCACCACATCTGATGCACGTGTAGTTTTAATGTTAAAAAGTTGGCTTTGCCTGCCGTCTACCCTTGCAACGCATATTGACGTGCACGATAATAGGAGAGACAGCTGCCCATCGGGTATTTGATGCCTACAGGTCCGTTCGTTGTGAGGACTATTTTTCATAAAAATTCGATTTACCTGATTAGTACCTTAAAATCCCAAGATCCCTACTAATGTAAAATTTAGGGCAAAACTATAAAATAACTTCTGATTGGACAACTGCAGTCTTGTATAACGCATACATTGATTAAGGGAACACGATTGACTGAGATGTGGACACACCTCGCTATCGATCCCCATTGTTACCGCCCTCATCACTGCTACCGCTCGACGTCTCCGCCTCCCCGTCCTCACGCGTCGCTTGGCGCCGACGTCGTACGCCCTCACTCCCACCTCCACCGCCCGGCTCGCGTTCCTCCTTCTCCTCAAAGTCATCGTCAGGGCACTTTTGTGCATCCTCGTCCACCCTGTCGTCGGAGAGACTGGGACTGCGCCGGTGGTTTCCGTGTTTAGAGGATTTGAGGCTGTCGGTTCTGCCGTGGCGACTGCTCCGTGACTTTTTGGATTTCTTATGCTTTTTACGCGATCCCGAGTCGTTTTCCTCGAAATCGCGATGGTGGTGGTGGTGCTTGCGCTTGCGGTGCCGTCGTGACGAGTGCTTCGCTGATCCTGACATGTGCTGCGACGACGGCTCCACCTCGTGGCCCATTTCATCGGCGCCCTCAGAAATATTTTTCGAATCATCTGCTCCGAATGAATTCGACCTAAAATAGACAAACATTGGCAACAAATCACCAGGAATTCATTCTGGATCCTACCAACACCGTTGACAAGCCCTCCATATCCATCCAACAGCTTCAACACATTAATCACCCAATTTGACTATTGCCAGCTCATGCCAAAACTTTGCTACTTCTAGCATTGGTTGTGTTAGATGGGTTGTTAGCGTGCCCAAACAAGAGCTAATTTTGAGACAGCCTTTACGTACAGTAAAAAACAGTAAATCACGTGTAGTAAAGTTTGATTTAGACTAAAACTGTATGAAAGAAAGTTGACTGACGAGAGGCTTGGTTTATGAGTAACAGTAATGAGGTAGCATAAATACATTAAAGGAGAGAAATTTGCAGAACTAACAAACATCGGAATGAAGATCTAAGTGAAGTTTCATTAAATAAGACCACAGCCAAACCAACCACCCTTTATGCGTGTCCACACACCGGAGCTGGGTGATTTCCGTAAGGCTATTACCATCGAAATTCGCACCCATTCAACAGGCTTGTGTATCTCATTATAACGGCCACATATATTATTATAGAAGCGTGGAAAGTGAGACTAACCTGGCATTGCGGGGCTTAGCCACCTTTGCCTCGTGGCCTCCCACGACGTCACAATGAATGATGTACTCTTTAAAAAGACGAATTCGCTCCGACTGAAGGGGAATTGCCTAGAAAAAAAACCAGTTGGCCGTCAGTTTAGCAAACACTGTATTAACGTGCGACAATAATGCTGCCGAATGTTCCTCCGCCAGCGAAATTAATGTTCAATGGGTTTCTGCATAAAGGATCAAACGTCAAGCATGGGCATTTTGTATTGCATTCAAACCGATTTAATGAGATTCAACGCGAAAATGTTCGATTTGACCGGTTCTTTGGTTGTTTTGTAGTCCTTTAGAGACCAATCCAAGATATTTCAGGGAAGTCAGCGCTGATTACTGTTTCCAGGTAATAATTAAAGAACAAAAGATCTCCCAATTTAGTTTCCTCGCTTAGTCGACAAGTCGGTTTACAGGCTATAAGTGCGTGCAATAGCCCAGTACCTACTTTCGATGAAATAGGCAATGGTGTTAATGGAAATAGGACAAAGAATTTCTGCGAGGAAAGATTGTCAGACATGAGATGGTTATATAATTAACAGTAAGTGAACACCCACTTCTGTTAAGTAATCAGCAAAATCTGATTTTGAGTGCAAAAGGTCGGTAAATTGATAGGGGAGGCCGACAAAAAATTATTAAAACTACAGGAAAAAGATGCCTCAATAAATCTGTAGACACGCATGTTTGATAGCGTTAGTGTACGAAGCAGGAACAAGAGAACTTTCTAAGACCCACTTAGAGACACACTTGGCCTTAGTGGCGATTTTAGGGGCACCGATTTCAAGATTAGCGTGGTACAAGGTGAACGGCAGTGACTTGCATTAAAAGATGCGTGGGATGAAAACCTCTCTGCGACATCCTCCCAAGTGGTGGTGGGTTGTATGGCGGGGTTTTCAGCCTGACGAAGCATCTCAAAAAAGGCCTGTTCGAGTTTGTGCATGCGTCGTGCCTCCTCACGCTGGCGCTCCCGCTCCCTGCTCTGTGCCTTATCCACTAAGCCGTCGAAGATGATACGGATGTTACCGGAGTCCAAATTTTTGCCTCGTTCATCTGCCACTACTACCTAGGATAAAAACAAGACCAGGGGAAAAGATCGTACTCATAAATTAACTGCCTTTGGAAAGAAGATAGAAGACGTAACGTGCAGACAGCGTCTTCGAGGCCCTACTAATGACCACTGACACTACCCAAGAGTGTCTTCAAAGAAATCTAACATGTGACTAATTGCCTTAAAAATATTTATAGTTTAAAGTGATTTAGTCCGGTGCCACCGTGACGAATTCGGGCACTTCATTTTGCGTCTGTGGTACAAATGGACAAAGCCAGGCATGGCACAGGGCAGGTTCGAAACCGAGAAATTGGCCAAGTCTGTGTACAAGGGAGACACAGAAACTGATGGTCGAAAAATAAACGGAAAAGGCAAGTGTACTTCGGGATCAAGAGGAAGCACCTGACGCTGACTGGACAAAAAACGAATTGGCAAAGGCATCTTTTAGGTCACCTCTCGACAAAGAATACTCGGCCATTTTCGTATTTCGGTCTCAAATTACATTTTACGTCTAATTGGCAAAATTATTGCCAACATCGATTTTAAATTCAATTCAATAAAGCTCGTAGTTCTTAGATAAGATATTACAACACGTCAAACAAAACTAGTGGTTCACATCTATCGAGGCTCAAAACAAATGCAAAACGTGTACCGTAAGTTTCGACGTCATTGTCATAGTTTAAAAGCAGTTTGATAGCTTCATTAGAGGTTTAAGCAACATGACGACTTTGGCGGCACCTAAATGCACCAACAGGTATCTCGGCACGACCTACATGTATAGGACAACCAAGATCACATTTAGGATTCCTTAACAGTGCAAACCGAGTGACCTAGACATCAACCTGCATTAAAAAATCCTGCACTGACTTCGGGAGTCCTGATGCTTCCTCTATCAATGTGACTTGAATTAAAACCATTGGTATTTGGGAATACGGTGGTCACCTCTTTCGGAATCAACAAATCGCCAAGTTAAGAAACAGCCCTCAGAAGTCATTCTTCGCATATGATAAAGATAACAGAGCAATTTAAATGTTCCTGCTACCTTATTTAGATGGTATAACAGCGAATTAATGGTGGATTATCTACAAACATAAAATTTTTTTGAAAATGATGGGATCCTGAAACATGCCACGAAAAAATGACCTGGTAAAGCGAACTTATGAACCTTTTGACCAGGCATCTCGCAAACAACTATATAGGAACCATTAGTGAAAAATCCTATAAAAACCATCGTCACTGAGTAGTGAGCTACAAACCGAACTAAACTTAGACAACCATGCAACACCTGCTTCACTTTTTACCGAAAATGACGAAACTGGGCGACTTGCAGATGATGACCAAACTTAACTTTCGTACATTCGAAGGATAAAAATAGGTTTGCAGCGTGGTAAGACGATAAATTATATAAAAACGCGCATGGAAGACAGTGAGAATATGCTCACCTTTTTGAAATCATCAAAATCCAACGGAGGATCAACAGAGATACCTTTTTCTTTCATAATTTCTTTGATGAGTTTTTTATCTAGAGGTAAACGAGCCTTCAATTTCTCAACATAAAATTTGAAGAGGTCCAGTGGTGTAGACCCACGCTGGGCCAGCATAGCATGGAACCGTTCATCCCTAAAGACATTCGATAAAGTGGCGGCATACCGATTAATTATTTGGAAAAGATCCTTCCAAAGGGAAATAGAACTAAGAACTTGGTGCTCTCGTAGTTCATCGAGAAGGACAGTGAAAGCCTCACGATTTTTTCTTTGCATGCGCTTCTGCTTTCGTTTTTCTCGTTCTTTTTCTTCATCGTGCTCCCTTTCAAGCGTCCGTATGTGTTCCTCGAACCGGATTAACGCATCCTCTTTATCTAAGCTCTGCAATTCTTTGTCACCAGTGAACCTTAAACAGGTTAAATGGCCGTCAGGTAGAATGACCAATTAGCAAACCACGCAGCAATACAAATGCAAACAAAATTACACCGACCGTTAACGTTACTGAGCCTCCACAGGAATCTGTGAAGATACAATTTGATGCATGTTTTCCCAAGCAGAGTGGAAAATTTTCCATGATAAATAGAACTTAACTATGACCATTTAATAACTCAAACGGCTGGAATAAGGTTTACGCCCTCACTGAATACACCAACTTTCATGGATATCTTAGCCCAACAGCTAACATGAACGATCAAATGTGACAAACAGTTCACTTGATTAAATGAAAATGCTGGGCAAAAAAGTTCATATGTGAAGCAAGAAGCAACGCCACTTTTCTCAAATAACAGTGACCGAAATCGACCACGCCAATAGGTCAACCTACCTAGGCTCATCGAGAAGCATTTGCTGCGCCTCGCTCCAAGTAGTCCAGTATGTTAGCTTTGGAATGCCATTCAGAATTTCATTAAAAACCTTAATATTCCTTTTTCTGAGAGCTTTAGCATCTTCCTTTTCACGTTTAGCGATTTCCTGCATTGCTTCAGAGAGCAAGATTCGGCGGTCATGATCTGGTACGCTAGTCCACTCAGGCACTCCCGATAGAACCTGATCAACCTTCCTGTAGGACATAGTGGAATGGATGTCTTTTGTTTGAAGAAGGAATTTTTCGAGGTTCTCTTTAGCCTGCTTAACAAGCATACGTTGTTCCTCACGCTCCTCTTTTTGCCGTTGAGACTTGTACACGTTAAAAATCTGCTTTTTTTCAATAAAGTTTTTAAGGACATTGTAACGTGGGTCATCGCCAATTAGCTTAAGTGCTTGTTCCCAAGTGGCATTGCCCGGAACCTTCTTCTCACGAAAAAGTCGCCGCAGACCTTCAGCCATCTCCCCTCGCGTTTTGTATTCTGGAACAGATGTTGTACTAGTAGAACTTAGCTCATTCGGCGGTAGAGGGATTTGGATGGACTCCGTGCCTTCAGTTTCATAAGATTCAAGTGTAGCTTTCATTGCCCGCTCCATTGCAGAAGGTTCACTTGGCTTTTGCTCTTCAGCAGGCGTTGAAGGTGTAATTGGCGTTCCCGAAACCGCAGCAGTGGTCAAAATAGGCAACGCTGCCGACTTTGCTGATGCCATGAAAGCACGTTGTTCAGCCTCAATTAGTTCTGGAGGTTTTGTCCAAACGGATTCTTTCGTTTCAGAGTTATAGTAGTACACTTTTCCCGTTTCTGACTTAAATTCCTTCCATGGACAGTAGTCCAAAAGTCTTTCGGATACGGACTTAAGTTCCTCGGGTTTTTCCCATGTTGTAACTTTTGTTACATTGTTGAAATAATACTTTCGTCCGTCATGAGAGGTATGTTCAGTCCATGTGGATTGTGTGACGGATGAACTAGGTGTCGACTGCACATACCCAGCGGCGTAATATTGCGGTTGTACATAATGCATAGCAGGTACGCCATACGGCGGCGCATACCCCGCCATTTTCGTGTCAAAACAAGCGGTGTAGTGTTGCGTCGGATTAGGGCGCTGACATGTTGGACCACCTGGCCGCAGCCAATCCTGTGTCCCTCTGCGTTCCAATGGCATGCGAGGAAGGTAAGCATCCAACCTTTTATACACGACCGAGGTGCAGTATATAAGGAGCGGTGGATGGACTCGGATGGAAGGCGCCTGACGTGTGGCTCTGGCTTCTGATTAGTCAATAAAGCATGTTCTGTTGTACCAGTCTTTTTCTTATTAGGGCTCGGGTATTCTACAGTGGTGTAGTGTTGCGTCGGATTAGGGCGCAGACATGTTGGACCACCTGGCCTCAGCCAATCCCGTGTCTCTCTGCGATCCAATGGCATGCGG